CAAGTTGTGGAGTGTGGAGAGCTTTTGTTTATTTTTCTAACCAATTAAAAAAAAAATCCGTTGACATACCTGTTGCAAAAATCAAGAATTTCTATACAAGAGGTGGGGCATATTGGATAGAAACACGATATCACTCTATAGATTGGGGCATTTTCAGGTTCTTAAAATGTCAAAAATAAATTGCTTTGTTTTTTTTTGAAACGATCGTTTAATACGATGAGTAAATAAAAGGAACATTTTAATGTAGGTTCAATTTATTTTACATTTTAGGGAAATTTCGTGGGGAAGTTTTAAAAAACATCGTACCTATAAAGATTTAAAGTTAGAACTTATATTGGCGTTACCTATTTTTTTAAAGAATTACCCTTACGGGGTGGGGTGTAATCGACCCGTGATATCGTCGTAGACGATCAAAAGAATTTTTCCTTGTCACACCCGCCGACTCACACACAGACACACACACACACACACATACACGTTTATAGATCTCTTATCGGCGTTCTAAAAATCCTTTAATTATCTATCGATAACGTACATATAGTGAATATCTTATTTTAAATATTCAGTTTTAAAATAATCACCAACATGACATTTCTGATTCCGGTCTCCAGCAATAATATGCCTTACAAAAATTATTTCAACGTTTTGAACTTTGAGAACAACGTGCCCAACTTCAGTCTGCCCTATTCCGGTGAGTAATCTCTCATTTGACTTTTGACTAGTCCGACGAAACGGTTGTTTTAAATTATTGTTTTGGAATCATCAGCAAAATTGGAAAAGATATTTTGATAGGGATTTCGACGTATCTAGACAAGTTAGAGTTTTCAAGTTGCATAATTTTCAACTTACAGGGTGCTACAAACCGAGCGCTCGTATTTTTTCGTCACTTTTAATTTTTTCTTGTTTTGTTTTCAATTTTTAAAGAGTTCATATAAATCAAAATAAAATATTAATAAGAATAAAATTTAAATGTCGAATTATAGGAAAAAATACAAAATCTGACAGAATCGTCCGAATTCGTTTTTAACCCTTCATACAATTCGACTTCCACCATTCGAATCTTGGAAAAGGCTCTCAAGTTAAGGCAACGTTGCGTAATATTGCCTTATAAAATTGAAATTGGCACTTACATTTTTTACGAATTTATTTTAAAATTTAGATAAAATCTATAAACCCATTGACACTGATACTTTTTGAGTATTTCTTGAACCATCGTTCACTTTCACGTTTCTTACTGACGCCATATTGGATTTTTGCGTTGTTGGATGGCCTCTTTCAGTTCCATTTTAATGACGTACTACAAGGGTACTTTGTAAGACTTTGTTGTACGTGTCAACTATTTTTAAGGTAAAAGGTTACTGTAAAAAAAAAAAACTTTGACACCCTGTATCTCAAAAAGGAATCATTTTAGATCACATGTTTCTAGTAAGTTTTTATCTTAACAATACTTTATAAATTTAGCCGGTCATACGTAAATAACATTTTAATATCTCGTAAATCTGTCTGACGTCAAACGTGTGGTTTACTAATTCGAGGTACCCTGTATACATACGATTAGAAAAAAATAGATATTTTGTCGCAACAAGAATTTATTGCCGAATGCGAAGTCGCCGTACATATATACAGAGTAAGATATATGCAAAAGCCTCGAAGTCCGAAGGACGAGAGATAATGGCGTGGGGTCAGCGGGCCCACGGGAGCCGTAAGGGGCAAACTACCCGAGACGCCTTCGGATGGGCATTTCGGTCCGCAAATATCCCTCCTTATGACCCCCACGCTTTCATAAATAAAACGACCGGTCTACATCCTCGCGTACATGCTTAACCACCTCCGTTTTTATATTATCGTGTCGTATAACCGCGAAAATATTTTGTTCGCGGGGGTCCGAGTTGGTTAGAGGCGGGAGAGAATCGAAGTGCTTTTTTTTTGCTTCTAACCCGTTACTAAAGTAACGGAAACGCTCAACTTGACTTGCGACAATGTTTAGTAAGGTCTAAATTTTAAAGTCACTTTGTGTACGTCTGCATAAGGTGGTATTTTAGAGTAGCCAATGGAAAATAGTATTTTATGCAAAAAGTTTTATAAACGACACGGAGGAGCGAGTGTCTAGGTGTCTGAAGAAGTATATTAACGTGGTACATACTATACTTTTTCTACGACTATTATTTTTATGGTACATTTTTTTAAAAGAACATTATGCGTACGCTTGATTGATAATTAGAGTAGGGAGTATAAGAAGCATTAAAAACAAGTTTTCCAAAGATATACCGTATTAATACGTTGATAACAATGGGATATAAGACTCATTAAATAAAAATTGCAAAAAATATACAAGTACAATTGAATTATAACCAACTAAGATACAAGTTACACGACAAGAGTTACAAAGATTCTTAGCAAATATTTCACTAGAGCTCAAGACAAGTTATTTTAATTTTTTATTTTAAAGTAATTCTATTGTATTCTATTTGTAAATCTTTCTGGCAATATGATATAAAAACGGGATCTTTTATACTCTTGGAATTGTTTTAACCAGTAAAGTTGTTCTGCAAGATCCTGATTATTCGCAGATTACCGCCCGGTTTGAATTTTGACGTTTGTCAATTCTGATGGTCATGACAGCAAATGTATTTGTGTTTTTTTTTGCAAATTGTACCCAAAAGCTAACGATGGTAGAAAAAGTATAATATGCAACACGTTTGGTAAACTTATTAGGGCACTCACTCCTGCGCTCGTAACTCAAATGCCGTTCACCGCACTTGTTGCATAACAATAATAATATATTATAACATTTATAATATGTATATATAAATTATATGTTACCCTGCAAGCACCATCTAGCTTCAAGGAGTAAACTAATATCGAAACCTGAAATAGATCTTATTCTGATCTGTAGCTGATCTTGTCGGAGGCCGCGTGAGTCTCGTAGAAGTTTTAAACATACACACGTTTTGACTCTTATATCTCTGTATATTTTTGAAATATATTTTTACGTTTATAGAAGAGAATAGACTTAATATCAAGAAAAATAGTCCGGGCAATTTTGTTCTAGCAGTATTCAACAGTTCTTCGATAAATGGAAAAATTTCCCAACACCTGAGAACCTTTAAAAAGCGCGCCTTGAACAGTTTCTGCAAGATCACATAGTGTGAAAGAATATTTCTATCTTTTTTTTTGCAATATCAAATTCGTTAAAAATTGATCTTTTTTTGTTGTTGTATTTATTAAAAATCTATCAAAGGAAATAAAGCAATGTATTCAAATAGAAAAAAAAATGGAATGATGTAAAACTATATTTTTTTAGATCGACCTGATGATATTTGCATGATGTTGAAAAAAGCGTTGCATGTTAAATCAAACCCTGACGATATGACCATAACATGGACGGTGGTGAATATTTCATGGCGCAGCCTTATTAGAAAATGTTGTGCGTTAAAACCCGAATGCCGCACGTGAAAAATTAAACATCCGATTCATATTCATACGGCTGTTAATAATAACGAACCCGGTTAATATAAATAGAAACATTAATTAATGGAAACCCGCACAGCACTGCAAAATTTATTTTGATAAATAGAACCACCAACTTATTGGTAAAAACCGAATTTGTTAGGCTTTTCTCGAAAATGTTTTTAATTCTTTTTCAACGTATAATTTTATAATTAAAAAAAAACGAAACATAAAGGTATAACGCGACAACACTGTCTTTGCAAACAATTCGATTATATTATATTTACATTGTTATTAAAATGGTTACAGGGCAGTAGAAAATATTATATATATATATATATATATATATATATATATATATATATATATATATATATATATATATATATATATATATATATATAATATTTTCTACTGCCCTGTAACCATATATATTTTCTACTGCCCTGTAACCATTTTAATAACAATGTTTTCAAAACATTCATTGACCGAACTATAGAAACAACCCCGTAATTTACAACAATTCACTGACATCTGCAAAAATTGCAAATCTAAAGTTGGAATAAATCATAGTGCATGCGTTGCTATGGTAGCAGGAATCTTCATTTTTTTCAAACGGATTTTTTAACCAACTCCAGTAACAAAAAAAAACGAAAAAAAAAAAGGTATTCCACCAGAGATTAGGCAGTGTGTATACGTGCTACCAGATAAACATTTGTTCATCCGAAAGAAGCTCTGCAGACATTCGTTTTCACAATTTTATAAAATGCACTGATAATTTCAAGAACTGCAAATAGCTGTAGGCAAGGGAAAATAACCCTCCCTTCTAACTGGAGAGGAGAAGTTTTTCCATCCTACCTTCGTCAAAGTGGTATTTTGTTATCCATTTCTGGGGTCGAAAATAACAATTTCTAAGACAGCAGTAGAAAAAATATTTTGCGTATTTATGTCATTAATTATCAGTAAATAACTAAATAGCAGAAAATATATACAGTGCGTACCATCTCATATGATAAGTTATTGTGTTTAGCGTTTGATTTAAACTGAAATACAGCGTTGCCAAGACCTTAAACTTTTCCTGAAAGTTCGCGATTTGTGATCGATGTAAAAATCGTACGGCGAGGAGGGGAGAGGCATACAGGGGGTTACGTAACGACCATATAACGAATCCGATTGGATACGTATTTATCAAAACAAAAATGGCGCTTGTATACCGTATACGATTTGTCGGTAATTGCATCGGTCTCGTGCATTTGATCCCGTAAATTAAAGGAGAAAAATGTCCGGACAGATCGCAACGATCCAATTAGTAACGACGTTATTGCTTCTTCTGGACCGTTAATTTTCTATATATAATGGGGTCTGTACGGTTGGTCCTGGTATTAATTGCATATATGGCCCCCGATCGTTCCAATTAATCCCGAAAAATATATATATCCGAAGCAATAACAAACGAAAATCAAAATCAAAGGTCATTTTTACACGACGTCGACATTTGGCCTTCCCGACAGGAAGTATTTGCTTTTTTTTATTGTTGTTTTTTGTTTCAGCCGAACCACGACCGTTGAACAGGATAGACAAACCGCCCACGCCCCTGTCTCACGACGGTAACGTATCGCGCGGATTAGTTATTAACCCGAAGTATAGTTTGATTCAAGTTAGAGCGTTGCGTATATCACAACAGCGTCTGAGTGCGATGAATGAGAACTTAGGATGGTAGCTGCCAATAAAGTACATTAGCGTATGAATTATTAAGGGCTTATCCAAAAATATTATCTTTTAGATTTTTTGGTAATATGCTAAGTGCAATAAAAAAATGTTTAGAAAATCAAATTACCTTTCATATTAAGGAAACCATGATTTCTAAATTTGTCAACTCAATTTCTTTCGTAGCTCAGAAACTAAAGATGCTATTCAAAATTTAATTATATTATTTTTCTTAAAACATTGAAAATAATAATAGTTTTCGATAAAAAACACATCGTAGTCCATAGTCGAACAGTCGTTCAAAAGTTTCAAGAATCCGAAAGAATCCGTTTTCTGAACTGACATAGTGTTTGATGTTATTGTGTCTTTATTTGTAGAAACGGCGGTTTGAAATTGAATATTGTGAAAAATGCCATGCTTAAGAGGATAAATAAGGTTATGTGACTGTTAAACTGTCAACGGTGTAATTTGAAAAAACTATACCTATTCGTTAAAGGAATAAGATGTGTCCCCGTTTTCAAGTTCTTCTCAGCTTATTCCAGATGTTCCCTAATTATTATTTCTACTTGCTGAGGTTACTTAAAGTAAAGTAAAGCAACGACGCAATAAATAATTAAAAGACTGCAAAATCAGCGATTAGGATCGATCCGTCGTCATTCAAACTTTTTATTTAAAAGTTGCGTTACGTTCGTACACCGTATAGACTCAAAAATGACACCTCCTTCATTCTCGTTAGAAACGCCCTATATGTAGATTCATTTCAAAATTAAAAAAATGATTTATAATATAATACTCGGACATCCCGTGTTTAAAACATCTCGTTTACATCGAACCTCGTGAAGCTGGTGGTCGATATTTCGTATTCGAGTCGTTTTCCCGCGCCGCCCCCGCCCGCCGATTCGTACCGCCGAATCTGAATCTTTTTCCTGGTTTTTAACTTGATTTATTCAAAAAAAAACTCGACGCTCTAACAAAAAAGCAAGGGGATAAAGTCGTGTCACGTGCGTTATGGGGGAGGGCGGAGGGCTAAAAATCAAACCTCGACTTTACATATTCGCTGGAAAATTTCCATACACACACACACCGTTTAAACGAAAATCCAGTTCGGTGGTTGACGGACCCCCTCGTTAATATTCTGAGAGCATCCCGTTTTCGCTACGGTTCACTTGGACAAGGGGCCCGAGGGGGGGTGGGGGCGTCCGTGTCGGACACCGGCGGTTACAAGTTGGGAGACGGGTTTGACGTGGCGGTGATTAGAATTTTGACAGGTGCGCTTGCGATACGTCTCTGTCAACACGCCGGTTATATATAACAGTGGGGGTGGTGTTAAAACTGATTTATTATTCACCAACAGCATTGTTTTTTATGCACGCATTTTTTATTTTAAAAAACGTTAATGGTTTTAAATGCAATTTAAGAAATCCGTTGTAGTCAAATCCAGTTTTATCATTCGGGTCCAAAGGTTACTAAAAATTAATACAATTTTTCTTTACACAAAAATATTGCTCACCGAAAGGACAGATGCTTAATCGGCATGAAAAGTCGCCGTTACATCATCCAGCAACGTTTCCCCTATATCCGTCGCGTCGTGGGAGAGGGGAGGGGTGCGACAAAGGGAGTCGAAAATTTAAAACCGCCATGTCATTAAACGAGATTGATGACGCGACCTCCCCCCTCTGTCAGACATTGTTAACGCCGCGACGAAACCCGAGTTTTAACCCTAATCTGTCCGGGGAAAAAGGTAACCAATCGCGAACCCCACGACCCCCTTCTCAACCCCTGATTTTTATTTTCCAGCCACGCGCCATCACGGACTTTCTGTACGCATTAAAAGCGTATAAAAAGACGTACAAGCGTACAAGAGGAGATAACCCGTTCTTTGTTGTTATACTAACTGAAAATCTTAAGTTGTTTTTTTAATTTAATATCAATTTTGTTTTAAAGAAAAGTCTGCGGAAATAAAATAAATTGAAAATTTATATTATTAATTATGTTTTTTAAAGGAAAATTAAGATTAAAAAAATTGAAAAAAAATTATGGCCTACAGAATTGTTTATTTAAAATAATTTGAATTTTTTCAATAAGAAAAATAATGTGAAACTTTAAAAAATCAAATATTGAAATCTTCAATAAAACCAATTAAGTTTTCTTATCTTATGTTCTTTTTGAAGAAAAAGTTAAATTTAAACAAAAAAGGGATTTTTTTAAACTCTTATTAACTTAGTTTTTTTTGTAATAGAACACCATCATCATGTAGATATGCCAAGTCGGGTATACTAATTAAGATGACGCCCAGCATTATTGTTATTGAAGTTAATTTCGTAGTGTCAAATAATTGATAACTTTAATTCTAATTTGACTATTATTTGAAATTAATCTCAATATCAATAATTCTATAATCTTAATCAGGTTTTAGGTAGAAATAGATTCTAAATTAAATCCCTGACAAATTTGCTGTATTTCTGAATATAGATGCCGAATTAAATGTAATGTAATGTAACAGAATTGATAGAAGTTCACCTATACTCTAAGAATATGAGGTTTAAGAAGAATTTAATTTTATCAGTTATTTATTAGTCAAATTATTTTAGTCAAATACAGCATTTCACAAGAACAAGATTATTTTTATGCAGCAATTGACCTGCATAAATGTCGGTGGCATACCATTTAGCAGAAATAAAAAAAAGGGTTGTTGCACAGAATGCATTTACCAAATTTCACCCAAAGAGAATCTTTTCTTAAATAATATATAATACATATTAATACAAAAAATATTTTTTCGGTGAGAGGGCGCTGCTGGTGTTCGAACCGCTTGTTGCCGCGTTCCGACGGAGTATAAAAAACAACCGGGTGTGAAATTTCTTACACTCTGCAGCGTAAGAGGGTGGTGGGCTTCGAAGTACACATCGTAGGGCGGGGGCTTATCGGCTCGTGATTTAACTTATCGCACCCCATGCAGGACTTAACAGGCCTTAAGGTACACTGAGCCGGAAAATTGCCGCACATATTTTCCGCGTTATTATGCCGGAATGATTGACTATATAAATGTGAAAAATGCGAAGTTTTTCCGTCCCGTGCTCCTCCCCTGCCCGCCAGAGCCGCCGAAGCGATCGTTAGTAGATTTGCTGTGCTAATTACTCAATTAATTAATGGGGGGGGGGGGGGCAGTTCATACGTGTTAATTAAATTAATAATCTTGTAACGCACCACTGAAACGATGCAATTAGATACGGCACTTTGTAAGCTAATAATTGGTCGAAGTTATAAGACTTTGCGTTAACAAATGTGCCGAAACGTGAATTGTAACGGAGTATCGCCGATTGTGGGTATATCTGGCTGCCTACGCAAGGCGAGGGTCCCCTAACAGAGAAAACTGGTAAAAAAGAGTTTCTATGGGAACTGTATTCACCAGCGCCACTGTGACCTACGGGACTAATTAATTTTCTGGCGTTAAGTGGCAGGAAATGTGAAGGAGGACAAGTTATCCTAAATATAGAGGAAAGAAATACAAATTTAATCGAAAACAATAAAAAGCAAAATAATATTAATGGTGCAATTAAGCTGGATTATAAGAACAAAGTTTGCTATTTCTTCTTTTCCTAAAAACACATAATACCTAAGATATGTACAGTGTGTCCCATTTTGCTCGCGACTGAGGGGTATGTTCGTTGCTAGTGAAGATAGAGCCTTGAGCTTTCGCAAACATTGGTACTTTATAAGGAAACAAAATTTTTATTTTATTTATTATTTATTTATTTATTTATTTATTTATTTATTTATTTAGCACTTGGCTATTTATATAAGCAAGTAAAATTTGCATAATACCCCGTAAGTCTCTTCTTGAACACTCTTGGGCACCATCGTAGAATAGAGTTTTCTGTATATTTGTTGTTTTTACCATAGAAACATTGAAGTGCTGATTGGAACGTATATTATATTGATAAAAGTTTGACCTTTTTTCCAAACATAATTTAAGATAGCATGGTTGGTGATCGTGCGCAATTCCATAAACCAACATTAAACTTGCTCTTCTAATAAACTGCCCGACATTTAGCCAATTTAGCTCGTCTAACATACTCTTTATAGGAGTATATCTATCACAGTTCGGGATGATTCTCATAACCCTATTTTGTTGTAACTGTAACTTATTTAAATCTTCATTTGTACAAGATATAAGCAATGAACAAACATATGAAAAATGAGGCAAAATTATACTTTTATACACTAATATCCTAGTCCACTGCGATAAAAACTGCGATACACGGTTAAAAAACCCTATTTTCTTACCAATTTTTTTGCATAGATATTCAACATGATTACTAAAGCATAATTGTGGATCCAAGATCACCCCTAAATATTTAATTTCGGAAACAAACTCAATTTTATTACCCTGTATATCCACAGAATACCCCGACTTATAAAATTTTTGACAGTTAACCTTAGAACCGATAACCATGCACTTAGTTTTGGAGCTATTTAATTTCAGTTTATTTTGACACAACCATTCGTAGAAATACTGCATTTCGGTATCCAGTTTGGTAGCTATTTCTTTGCAATCGTTTCCAGAGACTGAAATAAGCCTGTCATCAGCAAATAAGTTAACAAAGGAGTTTTTTAAAACCTGATACATATCATTTATATAAATAATAAATAAAAGCGGGCCCAACATGCTTCCCTGCGGTACCCCCCATCTGCTATCCCTATGACTTGAAACATTATTAATTTTAGTCTGGTGAGATCTATCAGATAAAAAGTTCTTTATCCATTCTAGTGCAGAGTCTTTAATACAACATAAACCTAATTTTGTAATAAGAATGTCCCTGTCAATAGTCTCAAATGCACATTTAAAATCTACAAAAACACTCAGAATTAGTTTTGAGTCTTTCCGCCACACTGCACACATATATTGCAACGCAGATTCGCACGAGTGTTTGCTCCTGAAACCAGACTGTCCACTGTAGAATAGGCAGTTCCGCTCCAGGTAGTCTACCCGAGATACGAGGGCTGACCCAAAACTGCAAATAAAACTAACCAAAATCACCCTGTATTTTAAAAACTAAGCAAGTCATCTTTCGTTACACAAAAAGTACCAAACCCACATACCCCTCAGTCTCAATAAAATGGGACACACTGTACATATAAGAAGATTCTTTCTTAGACTGTGTTAGACTAATTGTAGCCACATTTTCATAGCACTGCTTTTGTAACTATGCAGGAAGCAGCAAAATCTCAAAAAGCAATGGTTTTCTTTATGTGGAAAAATCAGAATCAGAAATTCAGAATTCAAAAGTAGTGTTATCGGTGGATCGATAATTTTAAAACTGGTAGCATATCACCAGAAGATGATTAACACAGTGGTCATCCAGGCACGTCCGTAATTGAAAGAAACATTACTGCCATCAAAGACCTACTAAAAGGCAGTGTGCGAATAGGGATAGGTGCACGACAAGTTCAAGACATCTGGCATGATTGTTGGCACCAGAAGGGAACTCAATAATGGTGAATTTTGGCAACGAATATTAACCATTAACGAAACGTTGGTTCCTTATTTCGACCCTCAGATCAAAACTCAATTCAAGGAATAGCGCAAACTTGAATAAGGTCCTTCTATTATGGCGCGTGCAGTACCTTCTATTGGAAAGGTAATGCTTACTGTATTCTGGGATTGCGAGGGGATTATTTTTACGTATTCGAGAAGTATTACAATTAACGCAGAATATTATTAGAATTGCAATAGGATAATGTTATTGAGCACACACCGCAAAAAAAAACGAAAAGACCAAGGATGTTTTGTACGATTTACGATGGGAATTGCTTCTGCACTCCTTATTCCCCCGATGTTGCACCCAGTGATTGTTATCTGTTCCCAGATTTGAAAAACAGTCTAACGTGTTATCAATACGTGGATCGAGGGGAGACACGCAAAAATTCTTTAAAATCGGCTTTAAAAGAATAGTTTATCGTTGGGATAAATGTTTAATGGAGATTATGTTGAAAAACCACAAAATACAAGAAATATATGCCTCCATTTCCAGAACTAAGCAAAAAGGATTTAAATTATTGGAAATGAAATCCTATGCAATTTATTTCACTATATGATACAAATTAATCAGGTATAAAAACACCTCGAATATAGAGAACAATAATAAATGAAATGGGCGTTTTGTTCTCTTCTTTTTTATATATATTTATGTTATAATTACACAACGTTCGTAACTTTTTACATCGTCGTTTCAGAAGTATCATCGGCAAAGGCGAGGCACCTATATAAATGTTTCGTAGCTATATAACTAAAACAGTGGCTTAAATGGCATTATCCATTTTTTTTGCTTTTAATCCCAAAACGGTTCAAAATAACTATGGTATGTCTTACTTTTAGTTCAAGAATTGCCACAATAAAATACAATATTTAAAATTCCCCGTTAATTTAGCCCCTACCTGCTAAAGGGTCTAACACATAAATAATTCGTAACTCAATTCATTTTATCCGTTAATCTCTTTTTAGCAGTTTTCTCTATATCGATAAATAAAGGGAAGTTTTCAAATTCCCACATACAGAGGAAATGCTGTTATGGGGAACCAATGACAACTTTTGAATTTCAAATGTAACATTCGAAATAACTTTCGTCTATACCTATTAATATATTAATAATATAAATAATTGAACCGCCGAAATATAACCTAAAAATGTCGGGTCATAGTCAGAATTAAAAGAACAGAACTCTTTGGCGCAGGTGGCGATATCAAACAGGACATCAGCGACGACGACCAAAGCACTGCGGGCGACCACGTCCACGACAACAACGACGAAAACTCCCTAGACTCGGAGCGAGATGGCGCACTCAATTTGGTAAGTTTTCGGGTAGTTATCCGCATAAAAAAAGCATTTGTACGCACAATACCATACTATCGCCGGATTGTCAAATTTCGAAGGTTTGATGAACTTTTTAAACAACGGTTGGTGGTCTATCTCGTCGACATGGAAAGCACGAGAGCCAATCAAATGCCTCTGTGTCCCGTGGAAAAATACATTTTTATCGAAACAACCCGACCCGATATTAAACTCGACCCTTAAATATTTGCCGTCTGTATACGAATTGCTTAGGGGGCTGGCAGCCGGTCCCGGGGGTCATCGGGAGCGGATTGTTAGTTTTCTATAAACATTTGTTCTAAACATAATATATAAATCGGAACTGTCGGACGCAGTTGTCGATTGCCCTTTTTTCTCTCTCTCTCTCTCTGTCCCTCAGCGCGCGCGGGTCGAAACTTTAAATTCATCGGGGAGCTTAACCTGGGGGAGCAACGTCTTGTACTTCTCGATGAAAAATTATGTACAATCAGAGAATGGGTGGAACTTTTTGAACTTTCAAAAATGTCTATCGCGTTTGCTCACCATTTTATCGTAATCTCTAAACAGGGTTCCGCAAACTCGATGGCCTATTAGAAGTTATGGAGAATAGAAAATGATATAGAGAATTAAAAATTATGTTTTATTCATACATTGCAATGTTGCCACATCTACTCGAACGCGACCTCAACTTCATTTTTTTAAATAGGATTTCCTGTATATTACTACATTTTTAGATTGTATGCAAATTTTTATTTTTTAGAAAATTTTGCGAAAAGCATCGATCATGGAAATAATTATCTATCTTTCAATTACTTGAGGTGTAAATCTGAAATTTTCTTTACGTCTTGCCAAGGAAATACTGTATCACAAGTTTATGCACATTTTAATGCAATTAAGCAAATATGGTTGCTTTAGTAGTAAATCATGGCGATATGGTTTGTCAGTTCAATAAGATAATATTTATCAAACAATTAATTTTTTCTACTCCCGTCTGTAAAATACCTAATTACACATCGGTCTAGCGTGCGGGAAGCGTCACTTTACCACGTTAGTTTCGCTGCCCATGGATCCGAGACACTTCGGACATTTCCGGGATTTTACCGCACGGATTTGGAAGCAATCGGATGTTTTCGGAGATATTTCCCACGCTTTGAATTTTGACGTTTGTCAATTCTGACAGTCATGTCAGTGAATGTATTCGTGTTTTGCTAAAATGTACTCACTCGTTTATTAAACACTCGCTCCGCTCGTGTCAAACAAACTCGTGAGTCAAATGCCGTTTACCGCACTTGTTGCATAATATACTACTACTTATAATTTGGAATTTTCACACGATAGGAATGAATTCTAAAAACAAACAAAATGCATAATTACCCTACAATTTCTTCAACCCAACTATTTAAAGAGAATTATTTGGACTGATGAGTAAATTTAAAAATAAATAAATATTCAACAGAAGAAACTCACACTTTTGGGTTACAGATACTCCATTTTTGTTTATTATGTTAGTAAATCGTTATGCAAAACTAAAACCATAAATAGTTTCTAATTTAATTGTCAAAACATATCATCACCACATAAAACCGTATATCAATTAGATAGATATTACAGTAAAAATTGATGCACCGCAGGCGGCCATGTTATTTTAGTAGAGATGGAATAATTTTCCGTGTATTGGTTTCCAGAATATTTAACGAAATCGCGGCATTAATTTGAGAAAATACTGCCGTATAATGCAAAATCTACACCGAACCTGTATAACTGACGAACTGTCAGCGACCATGTTGGTTGTTGAACGCCGCCGTAGGTCTTATTGGTTGAAAACGAAGGGTCAGTACCTTTTTTAATCGTCGCTTCAAGAGTTCGTGTATTATCAGTATCGGCGAGGCACCTATATAAATATTTCGTAGCTATGTGACTAAAACAGTGTAGTATAATCCCAAAACGGTTCAAAATAAGTATGCTATGTTTTTCTTTTAGTTCAAGAATTGCCGCAGTAAAATACAGTATTTAAAATTGACGCTTAATTTACATTTAAATATTTTTCAAAATATGTATAATTTTTTTAAACACTTTATATGCGATGGCTTAAATCTCATGCTATAATATGATACAACAGCCTACTGATAAGCCGCAAACAAAATTTCAGATTTTTATCTAAAACGGTTGAAAGATTATTTCCAAAAAATTAATTTTTATCTCCAAAATCGCTCAAGAGCTTTAAATGTATGTTATTAGGGAAACGAACTGATTTAGAAATTTAAAAAAATATATAGGTAGTTTGACGGAGTACCATTTTAAAGGTGTGACAAATTAAAATCTAGTTTATTTAATGCTCTTGGCTCCACCTTTGAATGGTAGAGGTGTTAAAACATTTTCGAAATTAAATGTCTTTAACAACAAAAATGCTTAACGCAGTTTAATATACTAGGAGCAATCGCTCAAGCTAACCAAATACAGTGAACTCCGGTTTTAAAGTACCCTCTAGGAAATAGCGGAAGTACGCTATAAAAAAAATGTAGGTACACATTTTATATTTAAAAATAGAAAACTAATAAACACTAATATAGGTACTAAAAAACGAAGGAAACTAAACTACCTAAACTAAAAACTTATCCATACAAACGTTACAACATACAAGTAAAAAGACATACTTTACTCTTTTCGAGTAAAAAACAACGTTATTTTTTGTTTGTTTATTTTTTTTCAATACAAATTTCATATTCTCGATGTGCTTCTCAACCTCCCAGGACGCTTGCATAATATCAACAAATTGTAATAATTTTAGCTGCACAAACCTATTCAGAATGACTGGGTACTGTTGAACATCATCGTCGCTTTCGTTACCAGAGCTTTGAGGATCATTTGGCTGTAAAACTTCAGTAATATTATCATTATCCGTTAATAACTCCGTTGTTATTAAATTATCATCAACAGTTGGGATATCCAGCTCAGGAAGATTCATTTCTATGTTGGTTAGATCTTGGCCGCTATTGCGCAACGAATTACTTAGAGGAACCTCCCAGTCATCGTCTTCTCTAAATATAAGGGTACGATCTGGAGTCATCTTGTAAAATAGCCCAGTCTCGTCACTATTGAAAATATCCTCAGAGCAGGAATTTTCTGCAATACTAGGCCACTTATCGTCTAACCAGTTCAGCACAGCTTGTTTGTTAACATCTCCTGCTTCACCAGAAATTTTTCCGACGTTTATGTTATCACGAAAACGTTTCAGCCAACCTGTAGAATAACTAAAATCCTCAGCCTGTAATCCCCTGGCTAATTCTTCGGCTTTCGATTTCAGAACTGAACCACTTATTGTTATATTTTCGGATTTTCGAACTTGAAATCATGGTAAAAGAGCTTTATCTTATATCTTTATCTTTATAAAATCAAGAGTATTTTGGCCGGACTAGTAAAATATGTTCGTAATACCCGGAAGAACGTTATATCCCATGTACGTTATAAATGGAGTTTACTGTATAATAATATAAGGACCGTATCATTCGCTTGTTCAATTATTTGATGTCAATTCGATAACACCCCTTGTATTATTTTATTCTAATGCCAGTATATTAGACCGCGTGATATATTGACGCGAGTTGGGAAAGCGGTGATCATTTTATTAAGTCAATTAGTCCAAGAGATGAGACGACGTAAAATTAATGGCTCGTGAATTTACATGCTAATGTGTTCCGACACGGTTTGTTAGGCTCGATGTATATTCCCGCGTATGATAATTACCCGTTAGCGTCTGATTACCGTCCCCCTGCTGAAAATTTCACTTCGGCCACAGACAACCTTAAGACAGATGCGACGGGACGAATTCGTCAATTTGCGCTATTATGCGCTACAGCAGTTTTAGTCGATTTCGAACGTTTAATAACCTATATGCGAAAACCGTTTAGTTATTATTATTATATTGGCTCCTTGGCATTTGGTTACTCCCAGCAGATGAAAACGCACTGTTAATAAGTCTTCACATTGGCATAGCATGTGTGTCGCTATTTCCTCCTCTTCTTGGCAAAATCTGCAGTCAGTGTTTTCTTTCACTCCCATTAGGCTTAGATGCTTCCGGAACCGGCAGTGGCTACCATTATTTTTCACACGGTCTTACTTTGTAACTGCTGCAAATTTGAACGATGGATTTCTGAGAAATTCGTTGGCCTGTATATGACCTTGATAGAAGGTTATCTTTTTACACTGTATGTATATATATATATATATATATATATATATATATATATATATATATATATATATATATATATATATATATATATATATATATATATATATATATATAAACACTTGGAATTTCTTCTTATATCGACCGTACTAAACTTATTTGAATTCAAAGGATATCGGGTAGCGGTCCGTGGTTAAAATAGAAAGCTCCTTTTTTCTTTAACACTCAATATTTCGTCAATTTATTTGTTGACTTCTTCAGGAGTGAACTAAAATTTAATGAAAACAACAGGTCAAACTATATAACAGACAATTAAAACAATCGTGAGAAATACTTACAAAATTAGAGTCTACCACATAGTTCCTCAAAAACCATACTTTACAGTTAAGGTAAATGAACGAAGCGACATAATGAAACAAACGGATAAACACTTAGTATACAATTCTTAATAATGGTAGGCAAAAGTTGCGCTAACGGGGGTAGCGAAAAAAAAACAAAAAAAAAACAATCAAAAAAAAAAAAAACAATCGATCTAAATAATGACAAAAAAAGGGGCATCAAAATAACCTACTCCGTGGATCAACAACGTAACGCGAATACGCTACTCGGTGGCCGAACATTACATTATCTGTGGTTTAACTGAAAAATGTTACAGTATATATTGCTTATTTGTTGTGTATCAGACTTGTAATTAATTGAATCTTTGTTTTTGTTAATATGGCACATTTCAAGAAACAATCGGGCTTTATAATTATTGACACATTGCAAAATTTTTGGATTGCTGTAGTCAAATTCATGTCCTGTTTTTATGTAATGCTCAACCACTGCACAAGTATTCTTATGAATACGGCAATCACTTTTGTGCTGTGTTAAACGTTGTTTTAACCACTGTGAGGTCTGTCCAATATAACAGCCTTGACCACCCAAACACGACAATCGATATATGACATTACAGTTATATAGTAGCGGAGTTGGATCTTTCACTCTAGAAAAAAGTTTAGAGACTTTTTCAGTATTATATTTAGCAATTTTTATTTCCTTGAATTCTTTGAAAATATTTATGATAGATTCTGTGAGGTTTTTAATATAAGGTATCTTTCTGTAACACATCCGAGCGTCTGGTTCCTCTGTTGGACCGTCAATTGTGTTGGAGTTATAGATTAATCTCTTAAGTATATGTTTTGGATATCCGTTATTGACAAAAACGTTGAAAATTTTTTTCAGGTTATTTTGAACAAAACTGTCATGGCTCAAATGTGTAACTCTGTTTTTTATGCCTATAATTGTATTATATTTTTGGTTCTGTGGATGAGAGGAATAATAATTAATAAATCTACCTGAGGCAGTTTCTTTCTGGTACCAATCCAAAATAATTTCATTTTTGTTAGTTCTAATAACCTTGGTATCTAAGAAGGGGACATAGGAGTCTTTTTCATGTTCAATTGTGAATTGTAGGTTGGTATCGAAAGAATTAAAAATACTCAAGGTTATATCTGTTTGGTCATATGGTACCGCACAAAGAAGATCGTCAACATATTTATAAATAAAAGGTAATTTGAACGGTAATTTGGGTATAATTTGATCTAGTAAATGGTCCAATACTAGGGTAGCAATTATTGGACTGATGGGAGAACGCATTGGGGTACCAAAAATTTGTTTGTAGAATTTTGAATTGAAACTAAAATAGGTGTTAAATCAGATTTTGGATAATAAATGGAAAAAGATAAAAGAACACACTAATCTTACAAAGACAAATTTTTTCAAACTTATAAAATTTATTTTAACCACGGACCGCTACCCGATATCCTTTGAATTCAAATATATATATATATATATATATATATATATATATATATATATATATATATATATATATATGTTTTTATCATTCTTCGATGACCTAAACATTCTTGTTGATATACTTTTAACATTTATACTACCAATGGATACTATCAATCTATCTTTGGTCTTAAGTCTGTAAACTACTCGTTTATGACGCATTGATGACGGAAGATCAAGTATCTGATCGTCATCAACCACAGAACAGGTGGTTGTGATTTTCTCCCGCGGAACTTTGGTCACAGAAGAGCTACAATTCTGGGCCGTGATTTTCTCATTGATCGCTCCAACACGCCAACACTCAGTGTCATATACCAGATTCCTTGTCCAGTTTTTAATCAGCTAGTATGAAAGGTACACATCGTTCCAGCACTATTAACATTAACTACTCTAGTTACTCTAGTTGCCAACTTGACCGCACAATTATATTGAGGTCAATAACCCTGCGAACGTTCCCGTAATGTATTTTACTTTATGTAAAGGTCACGGGAGGCGGTGACCAGCAGCCCAGAATACCGACGCCGCCCCAGATCCCGAACGCGGGAGCGGGAGTGTCGCCCGCGCTGGCAGCCTTGGGCGGTCTCGGCAGCATCTTCAGCAACCCCCTCCAAATGCTGGGCAGCCTGCAGGCGTTCCAGAACCCTCAGAGTCTGCAGCAGCTTCAGCAGCTCGCCATGTTGCAGCAAGCGAGCGGTAACCAGATCAATCCCCAAGCTCAGTTCTTCCTGCAGAACCAGGTGAGTAATCCTTGTCGCGTTTTGGGCACTGTCGGCGGGAATTATCTATCATCAGCTTACGTGTTCTTAACGGGATGTTCTTGTCTTAAAGGGATTTCTTCAGGGGTTTCCGAGGACGAACTTATCGTCCAGGACTCCGCATTCGCTTCAGGTGCGTTGCAAGTCCGAGTCATTAGCGTTCTAAATTTAACACAGCATGTTCAAAGCGCACTTCGCTCGAAAAGTGTACGTTGCATGTAATGATTAGTTTAAGTTTTGTCATTTGGTGGACAGTTCCAGATCATCCCCGACCTATCAAAAAATCGCAGCATTGATATTGAATTTTTATCAGAAATGCTTAAAACCTATGGTTTGAAGTTCACAACAGCTTTTGACGTACGCAGAAAGTTTGTTGTTAATATTAGTGGTACAGATTGTTAGCACATAGGTTTAGTCAGTCAGAAGTCTGTGCAGAGGCAACTAATGTTTTCACCGATCTACTAATTGCCCTGCATATTTTTTGATCCCTTATGAACGGGAACACCGATATTTGTGTAACCCCCAAATGACAGAACTGCGCATTTTTTTTTTAGTTTAAGTAATGTCAATGGACTATATCTAAAGAGACCCGGCGAGGCGTAATAGTTAGGCAATCAACGTTACATTTCAAATGTTGTGGACGAAACGAGGACCGAACGAATGCGTATTTTTCGGTTTTTAGAATTATAGAACGTCATTGGGAAAACATCAAAAAATATAAGAAAGTTCAAATTTTGAACGAATGTCATTCGTTCTGCGTCCAGCATTTCGGTCAGTCTAACCCTTACCCTAGTCGCGGACGAAATTTGAAGCTCGAGAAATGTTATAATTTCAGAAGAATGTTTTTTATAAATATCCATACTTAACGCCTTTATTGACACCCTCAGTGTCAACCGCATCAATGAGCGTTGTATTAACCTGGGAATCTTCAATGGTCTAGTGCCCAATATATACCAACAACTTACAGACCGCATCTACGTAAATAACCCTGTGCCCGAAGTCAACTTATTAGTCCTATTCGAGATCTTGAACGCATATTTCGAGAGTTTGACGTTCACTTGTTCAATAGAGTCGGGTGTTTAATTTGTCGAACAATTTTCATTGCAACTTTTAAGAGGGGGGAAAACGTGTAGTCTTCGCCGCTTTGTCCGGTCTCATTTGGATATAAATACGATAGTCTCGATTATAGACAACGGGTCAATCATCTCCCGTTCTAGGTACAGCAAATAGCTCAGGCAGCGCAACAGCTGCAGCAGCTGCAGAAGGCACAGCAGCAGCAGCAACAGCAACAGCACCAACACCAACAGAACGCGAACCAACTAAACACGAGCGTTCCGCAGACCACGCAGCTGCCGCAGACGCAGACCACGCCCCCCAATAACGCGCACGGAATCCCCGCAAGCATGCTGACGCCCAGCACCCCCAGCTCGGGGGGTCTCACGCCCCAGCATCTGAAAACACCTTCGTCGCGGACAATGGAACCTTCGACCGAGGAAACGGTCGAGCTGGAAGAGCTGGAACAGTTCGCGAAAACGTTCAAGCAGCGTCGCATAAAGCTGGGGTTCACGCAGGGTGACGTGGGTCTAGCAATGGGCAAACTTTACGGTAACGATTTCTCGCAGACGACGATATCGCGGTTTGAGGCGTTGAACCTCAGCTTTAAGAACATGTGTAAGCTGAAACCGTTACTACAAAAGTGGTTAGAGGACGCTGACAGCACCTTGGCCAATCCGGGCGCTCTGTGCAACCCCCTGACGACACCAGAGACGATAGGGCGCAGACGCAAGAAACGCACGTCGATAGAGACAAGCGTGCGCGTCGCATTGGAGAAGGCTTTTATGCAAAACCCGAAACCGACCTCGGAGGAGATCTCGATGCTCGCCGACAGCCTCTGCATGGAGAAAGAAGTGGTCAGGGTGTGGTTCTGTAACAGGAGACAGAAGGAGAAGAGGATCAACCCACCCCCGGCGGCGATGGGATCGCCGTGCTCGACGGCGAACCCGCCTCCAGGTTCGATGTATGCCCTGGCGAATAACCTCGCGCCGAGTCCCTTGTCGCTTGTGACTTCGAGCCACCAAAGTTTTAACCCGAACGTTATGGTCAAGCAGGAATGACATCACGTCAATTTTTTCGCCGACCACTACTTGGAGTAGGGCGCGTGCAATGCGCCGCTCCCCCGGTCGGGGGGCGGCGTTTGAGAGTGTGGCGGTGCTCGACGCGGCGAAGGAGGCAGCACTTTGGTTCAGTCTTTCGCGGAGAGGAAAGATTTTTTAATCATATCAAATGCAGAGGGCGTTCTGGTCGCGGCGGACGGACCTCCGGGGATGTACCCGCAAAGGTTTAAACGCAGACGGGTGCAAATGTTTCTACAGCGAGATAGCATTTGAGCTACAGGGTGTCGAACTTTAAAAAACGGGTTTTTATAAATATTTTAATGATCCAGCAGATTTTTTACCAGACGGTAACAAAGTGCTAATTTAGTACTCCAGATTCAAATAATGTTAGTCGCGTTTGGGAAGACTTTCAAACTGACATTTTGGATAAAAAAAATATGCAGCGCTGACTTTTTGTTTAGGTTTTTTTTAATCGTTCTATCTCAAAAAAAAGTCAAACAAAAACAATGTTTTCAGTTGCGTAATCCAAAAATTCAAATAAGTAAATGGTACACAATTTTTGTCAAATATTCATTATCTTAAGTTGGCACCTGGTATCTCGGACCCACACGATCGCCTTAAAATCTCTAAAAAACTAACTGAAATGTGACGAAAAAAAATGCGTATATTGTTTGAAAAACAAAACAGAAATAACGTCATTAAAAGAAAAGTTATTTGGAATCAAATTTTACATATTAAAACTACCTGCAAAAAAATGAACCAATAAACGACCTCGTTGGAATTGAAATCGCAGTTGAAAAATTACTATATTATTTACATATTTTTTTAACAAATCTTTTTACGAATTTTTACATCCTTGAGCGGCCGCGGGGTACTAAACGCGGCGTTGCCACACGTTAAATTCGAGCGCGTATGTTTTCAGAGGTCCAAGGTCGCCTCTGCGACCTCCCGGCGCGTACAACGGCGCCGTCGCCCCAGGCCCCTTTGTACAAACGGTTTTATTTTTAAATAAACACTGCAGTGATCGTTCTATATTGTATTTTTACGTGTAATATAATGGTGTACATACAATTTTATTCTCGCGTCTTCGTTGTTTTACGTTTGTTGCGCGTGAGGTGGTGCCGGTTTTCCCCGCCCTCCCTCCCTCCGGCGGCAAGTTAGATATAGAATATTTCAGTCTAGGGGTAAAACGGGTCGAATTCGATACGACAATGACGAAAAAAACTTGGCGTTATTTTTTTTTCGGCTGTCTCCAACTCTACGGCGACACGGACTGCCGTCTCCTGTCAAATTGGACGAAGGCATAAAGGAAATCGGAAGAACATTCCAGAGGTTAAATGCAATGTATCCCAAAACAGAGCAAAAATTATTTATGAACAACTAAAACCAAATTGAACTTTTGACACTCTGTAACTTAAAAATACTCTCACTTTACTCTGAGAAATATGTCGGAGCATACCTTACAGAAATACCCTGTGACTTAAGCGTAAATAGTCTCATCAGCCATTTTCTCCCATTTTTCTAAACAGAAACGTCAAATTTGACAGGCCCTCTTACTGCGACGGTCGTCCGTGACGCTGTCGCCGCCACGGACGGGGAAAATCGGCGAGTCAAGATGGCGAGAGGCGTGGTTCGGCTTTACAGGGTCCCTCGATTTTATCAATATGGACACGCGCCCGCCATCTACCGGCTAAGCGCCGCACTGCATAATCGCGCAGGACGGCCGACCGTTCTGGAATGATCGGCAGAGGTCGCCCCGTCGTGGGATGCGGTCGCGGCGCGTTATACACAGTATGGTCCGTGACGAACGTGCCTTCAAGATTAAAGAAAATGAAAATAATCATAATATCTACCAGGGGAATATATTCAGGTCGAGCTGTGCAGAAATCCCAATCTCGAGAACCATAATGCTCTGTGTGCCAATCATCGATCGACATTTGGCAAGATGTCGTCGTTTTGCAGACTCTAAGATTAATCTTCGGCGCGGTCGTGATGGACCACGCTGCAAAAACGACGTTTTTAATGGGTCTTTTTTTGTTAAGGGAGGACCAAGCGACGTGTTTCATTTCCGAGAAAGTTCCTATGACGTTATTTAGTTGTTGATACATATTAACTTAAAATTATAAGTGTAATAATGACGGTACGACCGCGGATTATAGTGATCGGTAGTTTGTCGACCCACTTTACCGACGAATAGGGTATAACCACAGTATTTCCAAAAAACTCGCGCGCACACACATATATTTACGGTCAGTGTGCCCGGTTATTTTACGATTTCCCCCTCAAACCCTTTCCTTCTCCCCGCAAATCGTAAATCGCAACGTATATCGCGAACCCATGCTCACAGATCGGTTTTTTCGAGAACCCCAACTTCCCACCCACATATCGACTCCACTGTAACATACGATTTAACTGTGAGCGTTTTACCTTGTGCCCGATGCCGGGAAACCCTGTCTGTTCAATCACTGATTTTTTGCAGAATAACGAGAAATAGATCTTCCACCCCTAGGGCAACCTAGTTGAAATTTTTTTGATAGTTTTTTTACCGTTTATGGCGCTGAAACACAGACCATTTAGGCAATTCTTTTTGAAGTTTACGGCGAGAAAAGCAAAAATCGGCTCTGTAATTAACGATTTGAACCCTTTTGATAGCGTATCTAGTGATTAAATGTGCCAGCATTCCGGCACGGCACTAACAAAACTTCATATCAATGTGTAATACTAGAGGGCGTGTGTCCCGCACGCCGAAAACCCTTTATATTTTGCATTTGTATAACGTTCGTATAGATAGGTTTTATAGTAGGTATATGTGTGTAGTATACATGTTTACGTAATATAGTAACATAGACCTTAACGGAATCAAGTATACAAGTATTGTCCCGATAGTGAAAATGTCGACGTGTCGTTTTCCGATGCTCGCGGGGAAACCAGACATGCCGGCCTGGATTTTTTCGTTTTATATCTCGACGAGTAAAAGACCCTATTCAGATGTGTGTACTATACAGTGGTCTAGGCAATAAACGTGTACATTATTTTCATTAAAGAAATCCATTCGTATCTTCGTTTCGTTTTATTCGTCGCGTACATCAGAAAATTGGCAGTTTCGGTCGATGGTTGCATTCAACAAGCGTCTTTATTACTTGCGATAATGAAGTTCGCAAAAAACAGTCGCCTCAGGTTGAGGCAGATGCTAATTTTTGGTGTATAACCGATTGTCATAGGCGACTACAATAAAATGCCACGTTTAGTCGCATTTTAAATTAACAAAGCTAAATCACTGTCAGCATAGTTTACCACAAAAATATAAGTGTTTATTACTAGCCAGACCTTGTCTAAGTACTGTACCGGTTCATTAATTGACATGTATAAAAAAGTAACACTAACATCCCTAACTTTTTCTCGTAAGAAATGTTATTTCAGATGTATATGTATTTTATGCTTACGAAATTTTGATTTTTTATTGTATGGCACTTTGTCATTGTATACTCTACATGCCTATGATATTTTTAAAAATTGACACTCACTATTAATTTGTAGTGAAGAGCTTATGAATCAAATACACAATGCATCTTTTGTAGCTTCACACATACCCCCTTATTTTTGTTTTTGGGGAACAGTTTCGTCGAATGCTTGCCTTTAATGCAACTTTCGCACAAAAATGGAAGTGTAAATGCAATATATTTTGTATATTACTCTACTGCTGTGTCGCGCTATCGCCTGAGATTCGATCAAAAACCAAAACAAAGCGACGCTGTGTGTTGTCGCGCAACGCCAACGCTCACCGGTCATTGAATGTACTCACTCTGATCTAAATTTCTAAATCTAAGTATAACCTTAAAACGTCTAAATACTTTTGCCAATTTTCTGTTCCGTGATTATGCAACCAGTGTTGCACCCCGTTTTCGAATGCAAACCGCCATTATTATATGATTGAACGCAATTTTAGTCTCAACATTTACCAGAACCAGCTAGAGAAAAAAATCGATTGCTTTCATGCAACGGACACAATAATAAAGTTAATTAAATTCGATACAAATCTTAAAAGTATAAGCAACAATCATTCACACAATAAAGGTATAGTCTTGAGAAATAAACTCGACCAGATGAAAATCCTTGTGGCGTTCTGCAATCCCCACGACCTCCGTTAATTTCTAAGACACGGACAAGTATAAAAAAAAATTCACTACGATGGTTCGAAACCGCGAAATACCTCTTTTACGTAGCATTCTTATTCCAAAGCCGCGCCGAGAGCTTTCCTCACGTCGTTCCAGCTCTGACTATCCACGGAAATGTTTGGAACACGAACGGTACCGCCTCTCATTAGTATATAGTTCATTAATGTGATACCGTGTTCATGCTCATGTCTAAACAATTCGAAACACTTTCTTAAGTTACCATTTCTTAGACCGCGTTAATGTCAAACTTTTGAATGGTGGGTGAATCACCGTAAATTTCATGTTAACAATGTTAACGTGTTATCAAATCCGAAAAATTATTTAATTACCTTGGTTGCGCAATATATACGCAAAATCTGTTTATTATTATCGACGAACTAGTTGTTGTACTGTTGGGAGCAAGTGGATTTGGTGGACGTCCTGTATAACAACAACACTATCGGGGATCGCTGCACACGACCACTTGGCATCGCTGCTGGCCTGTGTGATTGATATATTAATAGTTTTTAAGCGGTGTGCACAACTGCACACAACATTGTTGTCGTTAGTCAGCGAGTGATAACTATTGCGCAACGTTAACCGTGGAAAATATAATCGCAAGTAAAGCTAATTGATTGTTTATGTTTTTATAAAATACTATACGGGCGCGGATAATAATAATAATAATAATAATGTTACTGTTTTCGATTGCATATGTTTTTTTAAATCCCCCAAAAACTCTCCTGACAATGACGGGAACCAAAATTAACCCGGTTAATCACTGTTGCCGGAAGTCACTTTTGGGGATAACAAATTAAAATTAAAAAAAAATTAATTGAAAATGACCCTCTACACGAAACAACCTATGACAACGTATAAAGTCATAGAAAGCATTCTAAAAGGAAATACTCAATTCGCCAGTATTTTCGTCATATTGTCAGAAGGTAAGATTAGGTATACAATTATCTCCACATCGAGACATATTTCGGCTGTCAAGATGTAGGAGTTTAAAGTTAACAAAAGGGCAAAAATGCGGGAGACGCCCTGTATATAGGCCGGGCCATATCGGTTGTAATTACGGCATCCCCTCCAAGTTCCGCACGTACGTAAAACGAACGCCGCGGTGCCGGCGCTGCATATTCTGCATCCGCGCAAACGCTGCCGATCGATTTGTTCAGCTGATTCAGCTCACGGTTTGTTATCATACACGAAACATGTCGCGAGTGTCACAAGTCCGACAAAATTTCCATCAGGAATGCGAGGACGCCATCAACAAGCAAATCAACCTGGAGTTGTACGCGAGCTACACATACCTTTCCATGGTGAGCCACTTAGTTGAATGAAATGTGTAACATTTATGTTTTCTAATCTATGTCTGAGCGATAGTCTGAGACCGCGATTGCTTTTCCAGGCTTACTATTTCCATAGGGACGACGTAGCTCTCCTCGGCCACTACAAATACTTCAAGGAAGCATCCGAGGAAGAACGCGAGCACGCGTACAAGCTCCTCGAGTACTTAAACAAGCGCGGCGGTACTATAATTTTGACGGAGATAGGGGCGCCTGAGAAGCAGAACTGGGGTACGGCGCAGGAGGCAATGGAGGCGGCGCTCGAGCTCGAACGAAATGTTAACTTGGTCAGTCTCAGTTACAGGTATAAGGGGGGGTTGGATAGTTTTGATTTCAACTGTTTCTAGAGTTTGCTAGGGCTGCACGGCATCGCATCAGACCACAAAGACCCGAATTTGTGCGATTTCCTCGAAACCCACTTCCTCCAAGAACAGGTAGACGCCATCAAAGAGATCGGCGACAACGTCACTAACTTGAAAAGGGTCGGCGAGGGACTCGGCGTGTTTATGTTCGATCAGAAATTAAGCGATTGATTCGCACGCCCTTGCGCTTCGTAATTATTTGTATAATTATTAAATTATATCACTGTCAATTATCGATATTATTTACATAAAACAGAAATCAGTTTTGTCGGTTTTATTTATACACCCCGTCCTCGCTGTTTTGTCGTTTCAGCATTCTCAGATACATTAGATTTTCTTTCGAATTCACGACGAACGATTCGAATAAAAGGCGATCGAATAAGTATTCGCCGACGCTCGTGTCAATCATCGACTTCGAACGCGCTAGCAGTCTTGCCAATGTGCATATCGATTCGTTCTTAAACATAAACTTGAATAGAAATGGCCATTTAAATGTGCGACATATCTACACCTGTTCTCGCAAGAAGTCTTGAGAAATAAACTCGACCAGATGAAAATCCTTGTGGCGTTCTGCAATCCCCACGACCTCCGTTAATTTCTAAGACAAGACAAGTATAAAAAAAATTCATTACGATGGTTCGAAACCGCGAAATACCTCTTTTACGTAGCATTCTAATTCCAAAGCCGCGCCGAGAGCTTTCCTCACGTCGTTCCAGCTCTGACTATCCACGGAAATGTTTGGAACACGAACGGTACCGCCTCTCATTAGTATATAGTTCATTAATGTGATACCGTGTTCATGCTCATGTCTAAACAATTCGAAACACTTTCTTAAGTTACCATTTCTTAGACCGCGTTAATGTCAAACTTTTGAATGGTGGGTGAATCACCGTAAATTTCATGTTAACAATGTTAACATGTTATCAAATCCGAAAAATTATTTAATTTCCTTGGTTGCGCAATATATACGCAAAATCTGTTTAATATTATCGACGAACTAGTTATGCGTACACAATTACCTGTGCATCGTCATGAAAAAACCCTGACATCCCGGCAGTGATACCTCGGTTTTTCCGTAATAACAAGCCATGGACAAATACGTGAAGCAGGCCTGAAATTCTGCTGCTATTTGGTCGTTTAAAGAATTCTCTGTGTCATTATGGAAACCGTGTCTGCCAGATAAACATTCGGGTGACTTCCCGGGAGGCTGCTTATTCGGTTTATCGGGCGAACTGCAAGGTTTATTTTGATTGACTAGGCTTTCGTATGTACTGACATCGCAACGAGCGGAGCTGCGTTTGGAAAATTGAGCTACTTTTGGTAAACCGTTGACTATAAACGTAAAGCTTTTGCAAAATCTAGACCTAAACATGATTAAAAATATTTTGAATTGACAAGACGTCTTTGCGTTAACCTACAAATGTCTAATTTAACATGTTTTTCAAGCTTCGAAGGTCGTGAGTGAGTCAAGAGAAAATGCGTGACGTCACGAATGGGACACAAGCGCGAATCCAGCTGCCTAGAACATGGTATAATCACAGAAGGCGTTAACTTACTGATTTTGATTAAATTTTTGTTCTATGGTTAGTGTAACCTGTAAATGCTTGTAACGAAAATTTGACGATTTTTATGGCAGCAGTCCAAATTATTATTTGGTTTTTCGGTTGCGGTACACGATTTAAGACGTCGGCTTCATAACGAAAGGCGGTTTCAACGTACCCACCTTGTAAGTACTCACCTAATTAAGTTATCATATTAATCCCAATCGAATGTCGTAAATTTCAGGTTTGGATGAATAAGGCCATCTTTATTTCACTTGCATGTTCGCTCCCGGTCTTTGAAATGGCTTGGAGATCGCACGGCCGCTCTAATTTAGAAATGGTTAGGAACCTGCGTGGTCTGTGACTCGTGTAAAAGCCGAACTTTATTTTTAAGGCCTTGCGTTTTCAGCTAACGGTATTATAAAAAGCGATACTGTTGAGAACGCGATGCTCGCGGTCGATCGTAGTCATTATTCGAAAAACAATCCCTTCATGGACGCCCCGCAGAGCATAGGTTTCGGGGTGACAATAAGTGCTCCCCATATGCATGCCCACGCTTTAGAACTACTAAGGGATCAGCTGGAAAATGGCACTCGTGCGCTCGACGTTGGTTCTGGTAGTGGTTATCTCACGGCTTGTATGGCCAAGCTTATGGGTAATAAAGGGTAAGGTAGAGGCAGATTTGTTGTTGCCTGTCGCTTATCACTGTCAATGGTCGATATTATTTACATAAAACAAAAATAAGTTTTGTCGGTTTTATTTATACACCCCATCCTCGTTGTTTTGTCGTTTCAGTATTGCTGTCGGCGTGGACCACATACCGGAGTTGGTCGAAACGTCAGTGCAAAACATGAACAAAGGCAATGCAGATTTGTTGGAGTCGGGACAAGTGAGGCTTGTGGTTGGGGACGGAAGGCAAGGTTACCCCGAATTTGCACCATATGACGCAATTCACGTGGGTGCTGCGGCTGCCACCTTGCCCCAAGCACTTATCGATCAGTTGAAGGTATAATATCTGTATGTTCCTTTCGCAGATTTAAGTTGTAACCATAGGTTGGAGGCCGGTTAATAGTGCCCGTGGGTCCAGTTGGTGGGGACCAACAGCTGGAGCAAATAGACAAGAATGAGGATGGTACGATTACTCGCAAGGTGCTTATGGGCGTGGTGTATGTACCTTTGACCGACAAAGATCACCAGTGGCCTCGTACCTATTGACCTTTACTGATAACGATGTTTTTTCTTCTATCGTTGTTGCTTCTCGGTTACATGTACCTGTATATTATGTAAATATTTAATTTAACTATTTAAGTTTTCAGCGCTCCACTCTGTGCTAGGCTAAATTTTGGTGTCGATATTATTTTCCTTGGCAATGTAGCTAAATAAAAAAAATCATTATAAAATGTTTTTTCAAAAACACCTGAAATAAATATAGCGGTTCAGACCTCAGTTGGTTTGCGTCTTTGTAATTGTAGTAGTGACGTAGGGCACAATTCACGTTATTACATCGTTCAAATGTATTTACCAACTATTTGTCTTTAATTGCTTTGCCACTGAAAAGTTCAATTGAACCAGGAGCGATCCTGGTCCAACGTTCATGAAAACATCATTTATAAAAATCCCCAGTCAGTATGTTCTCAATCCACTACGCGCCCCGCTTTTATCGCAGTAGATCAAGTGTACGGGCGGGACAAACCGTCACAGAAAAAAAAATCAAACTAATAACAATATAAAGACCATTTTATTAAATAAATAACAAAATAATCGCTTTGGTTGTAAATTACAAAGAAAAAAAAAGCCGAGGGGCAGGGGGATCGGTTTGTACTGCAGATCTCGCTACACGCGGTAAGAGTAGATAAAATATATCTCAACTGTTATAATATAACCTTATAATTGGTAAAGTGGTATATAAAGTACCCTGGCACGAAAAATAAATCACAATTATTGAGTAAATGTCACTTCGGGATGAAATGCTGGTATGTACAGTCTGGATCCTTACAAGTACCATCCACCTCGAACGGGCACATAATGGAAAAAGGGTCGCTCAGTTCCGACCTAAAATTAACTCTTGGCGCACACACAAGTTTTAACTGGTTAGGGGATACCTTTACAGGCAGTCACTTACAAATAAAATACCACAAAACAAAATCGCTAATTACCTTTTCACTGGATCCAAAGGTGACACGTACTTTATTTTCTCTGAGACGTGAGCTACTGGCGGAAGCTTTGCCTTTGATATGATCCTGTCGATATCGTTTGGGTCTCCTGAGTTTATTTCGATATCAGTCGTAGGACTACTATGTTCCCGCCGTTCTTTATTACTGGGCGGCTTAGTAGGAAGGATAACCAGTTGAGGCGGCGGCGGTAGGTCCTTTTTAACCGGCGTTGACGTAGCTGGCGCTTTAGCGCTGATAAATAGAACGACAATCAATTAATGAGACAATTTTTTAAACTTGTAAGAACTTCGTCAAAATTAGCAGCAACCAAATCAATTGCTTAACGCATTAATTACATTTTTAATCAAATGATTACATAATGTTTTGCCATTACTAAGACTGCGCACGTGCCCATACCACTAACCTCCGATCGATTTTTCCCTTCCACTGCACCAGCCGCTTTATCGCGTTGGACATATTCGCCTGCGCGGCCTGCTGCTTCTTCCTTGCCTCCGCCAACTCCTCGAGCAACCGCTTGATTTGTTGGTTCCACTGTTTCTCCTCCTTTCCAAGCTGGTCGATTTTTTTTATCAGCGGCCTTAGGCCGCCGTAACGGGCGTGGATCTGCAAGCTTAGCAGGCGCAACGTTACAGTAGTTCAAACTTACAGCGATGCAAAACGAGATCAAACGGCAAGGGTAGTTTATATGTGCACAACTAATTTTCGAAAAACATCGACATAATTAGTTTAAAAAAAAAAACGGTCTAAGAGTAGTTTAAATGTGTCCAGGTCGAACAAAAAAATTCGACCCCAAAGTAGTTAACATGTGCCATACCTCCCGTTCTTCCTGTACTGCATCTCCTTTAGTGCGCCCTGTAGCAGCTGCAGCGGGTTCGACTTTTTCACATCCTCTTTTGTGGACGTCCCGGTCTTGGGGAATCCTGATGTTTGGTCGACCTTCGGTCTTGCAGGTTTGTTCTTCGCGCCACTCTCCGACACCCTCTGGGACAGTCTCCTGACCCTAGGTCTGCGTTCGGCCTTTTTGAGAGTCAGCAGCAGTTGCAACTTCTCATACTCCCTGCGTTTGTCTTCCGGCAATAGGTTGAGCGTCGATTTATTAAATAGTGCCGTTTTTTTCGGTTTAGGTGGTGTCACGAACTTCCTATTGACCACTTTGAGGCTTGTTCTGCGAGGCGCCATCATCCTACTAGACGCGTAAACGTTTGTAACGGCCTTTTTAGGCGGATTCAACACTTTAACAAGCGCCTTGTCATTATTTTCCGTTTCCACCTTTTCACGTTGCTCCTTCAGAAATTTCTCAACGGTATTTTCAATCACTTTGTCTACGGTTTCGATTTTGTCTGAAACGAGATCATCTTCCGTGTCCGAGTCGTCGTTAAGGTCGATAATGAGCGGCCGCACCTGAGGAAATTTCGGCGCCATCATAGGTTTGCTTTTAAGGTGGTTCAGTTTATAATTCGGGGCCGCGTAAAGCTTCGGGGCCGTCTTCTCGGAAACGACATCAATTTTGTTGGTAATCTTTTTTGACATTGATGCCAAAAGCAACGCCCGCAGGATATCCTCATCCTCGTCGGGCGAAGGTGGCGTATTTTCGGGCTGCTTCACTGCCTCAGCACCGTTACCACCACTGTTCTCCTTATTAGTCTCATCGCTATTGTCGCCGTTGTTTTTCCTCTTTTTGTCTTTATATTTGTTATAAATAGCAGTCTGTAACGCTTCTAAACGCAACTGCATGAGTTCATTATCAATTTCCGCGTCTTCATCATTTGGTTCTTCCGCCTCCGAACTGACAAGGTTTATGTTTTCGATTTTTTCATCAGCTGTTTCAGTGCTCTTTGTCATCGCTTTCAGTCTCGTCTGTAAGCTGTTTCTGCGTGAGATTTTCGCATCTACGCACACGGCTGCTTTTAACTGAAACTGTAGCGACTTGTCTATCGCCTCCTCGTCCTCCGAATCTGAGGACTTTTTTCGAATTCGTCTTTTTTTGCGCGAATGCTTCGAGTCTTTACGATGCGCGCAGCGTTTTCTTCTTCGGCGCGGTTGCAGCGACGACTCCTCGGTAACGCTGCTTAAAGATATGGCGGGTAAACGATCGGTAGAAGAAAGGGACTTACCATTGCACGGGGTGGTCGAGATTATTGAATTGTCCGATATATCTTCCAGATCGTCGTCGACAATCTCGCCTTCCTCGCGGTCTTCCGCGTCTCGCGTCTCGATCGCTTCGCAATCGATCGAGGATTTCATTTTACGAACGCTTTTGATGAAAATCTGCGTAATCACAGCACCACACACAAACCTTCTGACAAATTCTCAGAATGACAACACCATAGTTCCGAAATGTCATTTTCGTAGGGAAATTTAATGGAGGGAATTCGTCCAATGACCGGCGTTTTAATTGCTTTCTTATTTATTTCTACCAAAGTACAGACTACAGAAGTTAAGTATCTATATGCTTAGTATGTTTACGTTAAACAAAAAAATAAAAAGCATAAATTTATTTCAGCTGAACCATACAATTACTGGTCCGATTTTGAGTTCTCTCTTTTGTTGAACAAATCGTCAGCCATTCGAACTATTTGAGAGTAATCTTCACACCTCTTCAGCAATCGTTCGTTAAATCCTTCGTGTCCCAAATAAGCACCCACTATCGCGCCCGTCATACACCCTATCGTGTCAGTATCCCCCCCTAAACTTATGGCATACTGAATCGCCCTCCTTGCCTTATTGTCCGTGTCAATGCCAGGAATGCTATTCTGTGCCCGCAAGAAACAATAAATGGCGGTCGGAACCGATTCATAGGCGCTTATACCATGTCCCAAAAGTGAAATAACCTGTGCATCTAATTCCGCGGAATATCTTTTTTTCAGCAGCTGCTCAATCACGTTTAACTTATCTTGGTATGCGGTTGCGTGCTCCGGATCCGTTTCTTTGCATCCATCTTCAATGGGTTTAATTTTTTCACGTAGCTGGCTGCAGAACACCTTTGAATTGATTTTATTATTGGGATTGGTTAGGAGGCTTTGACGAACCGCAATACACTGTAACAGTGCTCCGTTTAAGCCTAAGACGTTGCCGTGTGTAATCCCAGTTGAACGTCTCGCTACTTCTATCATCTGGTCATATTTGTCATGGAAAAACAACGCTATGGGGGCAATGCGCATCGCGCCGCCATTACCATAGGATCCCGAACCAGAAAATTGTCGTTTGGCGGGCCCATAAAGGTCTTCGTAATTTGTGTCGCGTAGTTCTTTAAAAACCTCACGAACGTTAGCTCCATATTTTCGATCTGGGTCGGCAAAGAATTCAGTAACAAACAACTGCGCTAGGTACTTAAAATCTAGATCTTCCTTGTCTATTAAAAACTTGGCTACTGACTTCATCATTGCAGTATCGTCGGTGTAATAGAAGCCATGTGTTGTTTTGCAGTTTGGGTCTTCGCATTTATCGAAATATTTTTGCACCGTGGGTTTGTCCATCAGGGAAAACCCCTCGAAAGGCGACCCAAAAACGTCGCCAAGAAGGGAACCGCACATCGCACCTCTAAACTTACTTTTTAATGATGCCATCATATTGTTTTTCAAAGAATATACTCCCTAAGCGATCTTAACCTGTACAATTGTTGAAGCAAAACTTTGAGTTCTTAAGCGTAACTGCACGATTTTAGCATTAACTGCCAAAACTTTGCAATGCATTGTTGCTCCCGCACGGACTTTCCCACGTTGCTGTTATCTAAAAAATTTCTTGTGGTTATCCTTTTCCCCATCGGAAACCGACGGATTATGGCACAGGGCAGAAAAAAAAATGACAAATAAGATTTATGTTCTGTGCGTGCCCTATTACTTTGCGGCAATGTTAAAAGATGAAGAAAATTTATACACAACCAAACAAAACTTAACCTAAAACACTAAACAAATTCACAAAGAATGCTTAACTCGCGTAATGTGTTTGTCGGTGGGAAATAAATACTTTCTCGGTGGACTGAGTTTCGCGTTTAAAAGACATTTATTCTGTGGTAAGCGTGGATGGGATCTAGTTCAAGTAATTCCGCCGGTGCGCACAAAAACTCAACGCAGAACATTGCATGTTAATCGAAACTGCGTGAAACGCATATTCTCGGAATATGATGAGTTCAAGGCAGTGGAAGAATTAGAAATCGGCGATTTGGATGAATCGAATCAGGTGCGGTTTTCACTTTTTACCAACCGCAACGATTCCTTACTGACTGCGATAAGCGAATGCGCGTCGGTCGAAAACGTGCTTTCTTTCATTGCGATCCACGGCGACAAGCTAACCGACAAACACGTCACCCGTATCGTGCTCGTATTATACGATTTGCAGACTTTATTTTGTCAAGTCTGCGATCATGGTAACGAAAGTGGAAGAATTCACTTCTTGCGGATATTGCGCGAAAAAGATGAGTTCGCAAAGCTATTAGGGGTGTTAAAAAAACTGCTGCCGAATTATGACTCTGCGCTTTTGGGCCCTACCTTCGTATTTCTAAGCAAAATGGGGCTTCGCGTGTGGGACGACGTTATGGATGGTGTCAGCGAGGAGATTAGACAACGCGCGGAGCGCGAATTTTCCCTAGAGCTGACGGAAAACCTGTTTAAAGTTGTTTTTCTCGAATCCAATGAGAGACCTTTCTACATCACCCGTAATCTCATCCCAAAAGTGATAAATGCAATTGGTGAGATTTAGTTGTACTTCATGTCAAAATATTTGAGGTAAATTGATTCTAGGAAGTTGCGAGAGTCTCGGCGATCTGAAAAGTGTGGCAGTTTGTTTAAACAAAATTAGCTATTGCGTGGGAGAACGAGACTTGCAAATATTTAAAGACAAGGTTGAATGTTTTGTTGGACAGAATAATATTTCAAACACAGATTGCGAAGCGCTCCTAAAAATTGTACTTTTTCTAAATTACCCTCGATGGCGGCACAAAAACCTGCCCCTACTTGCCAAATGTGTGCTGCTAATGAAACCACATTTGAATTCACTGAAGGCTAAAGAAGTGGTAATTCTGTACACTGTAAGTTGCGGAAGTCAATTCAGATTTCGTTGAATCTTTAGATCATAACAACATAACCTAAAAAAAAATGGTAAGATTGATACCTATATAAAGCTTAAAGTAACTTTAACAGTGTTGACTGTAAACTGGCTAGTAGTTGACTAGTAAATAATTCATTTACATCACGATCTTAAGAATTTTCAGGATTCCTTCTTTATTTGGTGCGACGTTGTTCGTTTTAGTGGTAATTCTGGCGTAAACGAAATCCGAACAGACTTTCATTTATAAACGGCACACCATAACCTTTACATAGTCCAGTATAGAAATCTATCATAGGTATTCTTCAAAAACCAAGAACCGAATGAACTGCTAAATGACCTTCAGAGATGTGCGGCTCGGCGAATGCAGGAGCTGGATGAGTCACCCTATCATCACACGAGCGTGAGACTGGCGCTATTTTCATCGCTAATATATTTTTGCTCACCCCTTCACAGACACCAGTTTAAAAAAGACGTTAGCAAGTACCTGGCCGTGTGCCGCGACTACTTCAACCTCGAACGGCTCAAGAAAATATTCCTGTATTTGAAAATCTCAGATCGACAGTTATGCCAACAGTATTGGGACAAAATGCTACATTTGGTAATCTCTGATAATGATCCAGACACTTTGATAAACGCGGCAGAAAGCTACATGACATTTAATACAGACGTTAGCAGTTATCGTCACTATGACTTTGAACATCATGTGATTAAACACATAAAAGACGCGGTGAAAAGCGACACAATCACTTTGTATCCCCGAAAGTTTTTTTCCTTGTATGGCTTCGCGCTGGCGAACGTCAGGCATCACAGTTTGATGGATGAACTGGCGCATAGGTTTGACGACATCAAAGCTCAATTGTCGCCCGTCGACTGCTTCAAGGTTTCCCAAAGTATCGCTTTGATAGACCGTGACCCGAGCCCTAAAACGAACCGCCATTTCTTGAACTTTACTTGCGGTGCGCTCGACGACGCCACCGTTAGACATTGCAAACTCGACGACTTCCACGGCAATCACTTCCTCATCAAGGCGTGCATCTTGCGCGGCAGCACACGCACCGAAGTTTTTGAAGACATGGTACTCCAGTACAAACAACTGCCGTACGTTTCGTCGAAGATCATCGAAAACTTGTATCACACATTCATTTCCACGGGTATTCTTATTCCCGAAGTCGTAAACATGCTGACCGAATACGTCGTGCACCACAAAAGCAGCGTTCTGGGTTTCAACGCTGAGAAAGTCTTGTGGCTTTCGTACTTTTTGGGTTATCATCCCGTCTACCCGGACGACTTCTTCGACACGGTCACGGATATTATATTAAGGTAAAAATATCAACAGCACCGCCGAAGAGTAGGCCGCGTTTCCATGTGTTCTTTATGACATATACGGCGAGTGTATTGGTGATGAACGTCCTTTTACATGTCTCTTTGTTTATTTATTGTTAATAATTTTTTAGTTCTACATCAAATATTCATTATTATTATTATCATTAAGAGAAATCGACTAGTGTCACTAGTTACAAGCCTTTCGAAACCTTACTTAAAAACTTACATATTTTTCCAATATCTAATTTTCAAAATCCACCTAGCAAACGGAAATAAACAACTAATTATAGGATTGTGTAATCCTTTTCACACCGAAAGAGAACGCCATATGTTCACAGCAATTTGTTCAGTGGGAGTAGGGCAATAAAAATTAAAAGTCTCTGTATTACCAGCATACGCAGTGTCTCTGCCGGTGATTCCTTCTTTAAAATAAAGGGTAGTTTGTTATATAAACGTTGGGTCAAAAGCCATCGATTAGGGTGATATCGCGCCTCAAATATGGCGGGAAAATGTTTTTATTTTTTATCTTAAAAAGTGGTAATGGTTTTCCACACATTTTTACATTTCACGCACTATTCTGTCCTTTGTGTCATTTTCTTTCTAAACGGCGATATTCACACATTTAACTCGTTTTCCCAGAACATTTAACGAGATCTAGGCGTATTTTGAGATAGTACTGCCATAAAAATTCCACATCCGATCTCTCAACGGCTATGTTGGTTGTCAAATGTCGCGCACGCGCATGTCAAATGAACCTTCTCAAATTGGTTATTTCTATCTTAACTCTATGACTACAATGGATAAAACGGATACATGGAAACCCAGCTTTCCTTTTAATTTCTCGCTTAAATGATGTACAAACGGAACGCGAGGCCATATTGCTTTTGGTGAGTTTCCGTCGACGTCATTGTTTCAGAGACCACGAACGTTCGAGCGGCTTGGCTCTTCTGCAAAGCACTCTTGCGCTATGCTTCTATAACCGAGTGTCTCGAGCTTTGGTGCAACAGATATTTAACGTAGAATTTTTGGATAAACTCGACGTGGAGCTGGCCAATTGCTACTCGAGGGTATGGTGGGAGTAAACGGTGCAACTGAGAACTATCATCAACTTACGCGATTTTAGGATAGGTATCCGCACAGGGTTAGGGATATCTTGATGCAATTGAACCGGTCGATTTGTTTGGAGTACCCGGAGTATAACGTGCCGTGGTTTCATCAAAAATATATTGAGGAGCACCAAAAAACGAGTAAAGACAAGTTTCTCTCCGTCTTAGGGAAGATTCACTGTTTTCTTTTTCAGACGTAATGGACGACGTCAAAGATCGCTTTCACATGAACGTTAGGGATTACATCGTCGGTGTCTTTGGTCAAAATTGTATGCTGGAAAACGTCGTCACCCCTTACGGCTATAACGTCAATTTCGTCGTTCATCTTACCGGGGCGCAGGAGACTACTTCTAATTTTGATGACGTCGCCACGGTGTAAGTCGAAGCGCGCACGCGTGGCGCATGCGTGTGACTTAAGCTATTTGTTTTGTTTTCAGGAAATTGGGGATTTTGTTGGTAAATGACAGTTACTACACAAGGTTTTACACCCACCTGAAAGGCAGGTACCAAATGATGATCCGGCATCTGGAGATATTGGGTTATAAAGTGAAAGTGGTGAGGTACAATGAGTGGATAAATTTGCTCTACGCGAGCGAGCGGATAGAGTTTGTTACGAACGTTGTGCGCCAATAAATGTAAATATTTACATGGGAATGTTTTATTTCTCAGTCATTTTTGAACCTAAATCCGGCAATCGTTAACAATGTGTAATATGGTCCAAACGCGCAAGCGCGCTTAAAAAAGGCTGCATGTGAGGCATTACGGAGCTTTAATTTAGAAGTTGCTGATGGCACATCAAGTTATGACATTGTTTTTGCGCGAAAAATTTTTAATCCTCGCTTCCAGAGTAACTGTTCTCCGCATGGTGGCGCCGATTTTTGACGACACAACTGACGGGCAAATCATTTTGTCTTCAATTATTTGCTTCGTTTTCGATATATAAGGTGTTCAAAATGAGAACAAAAGGAGAGACGAGAGAGAGGGTTATCAAAAATTTGTTAGTAATGCTCCGTATTACATTTTTTTATTAGCTTTGAATTGTTGAAACGGCTTTTTTCAGCAATTGACTTTTATAAAAATTTGCCAAAACAGGAAAAGGGTATTCCTATTTTTTTATTCTATTGGGAATCTCGAAAATAATGCCCTTTGCACCAAAAAAATGGCCTTTGGTGGTTAACAACATATTTGTTTTTAAAAGATAACTATACGAAACGACATCGCTGCTAGAACACATACAGACTTGGCCGATGCTGATCATACAGCCACTTAAAGCCAACATAAAGATGTATTGAGGAAGGACATGCAGTATGTTCTCGCCTAGACTCATTTCAAAATTCGCTTTTGAGACCTTGCGGCGTTCACCAGCCGCTGATAGTTCGTTTCAGGTTAAATGTTTGATGTTTCGGCAGTATTTTTAAAAAATGTGCCCAGATCGCATTTAATTTTCAGGAAAAAAAAATTAGGTGTGTTGGAAATGGCTGTTTAAAAATGGTCCGATAAGAAGGATAAGTCAAAAATAAATGGTCCATATAATTCTGCGCTTCGCCGTCTTTGTGAAGGGGTGGCAACAGTGACGGCCGACGCGGTCAAGCGCGTTGCACGAATTCTCAAACAGATGGCGCCACCGCGTCAGTTTCGCGGCGGTCGATCGTTCGGCAGGCGATTTTTAAACCAAAAAACTCGCTAGATAAAAAGCTTGAGCGGATGCAGGAAAACGGAAGTCGAAAATCACGGTCTTTAGATTGAAACAAACCGCCTCGCAAAATCGTTGAGCTTCGGGTGGAAAAATAAGGTAACTGCTCCTCCGTCGCTTCGCGCACAATCAATACCGCCCCCGGAACATTCCTGACGACGCCACTCTCCGACTTCTTCTCCGGCCGATAAGCCATTGTGTTGCGAAATGTGAGTTTTTCGCGTCGCAGTGAGCATTTCTCGTTTGCTATGAAGGAGAGACTCGAAACGTGAGTAGAAAAGTGGGACGAGACGAGATATAATATTTTTTCTGTCGTGTGTCGGACACGTTGGAAAATGCTGTACGAGGCTGAGCGTATACGATTTTCGAGAAAAACGTTTTTTTCAACGCGGACCTGTATACTTATATGTGAAAAATCAATAAGCTGTCGACGGTCTCGGCGCTGCTTTATGTCAAGCATAAGCTTCGAGCGAAATCGGTAAAGTGGAGGTGTAGATTAGATCGCGATACTCCGCGAACGGAAAATAATGAAAATTATTAATACATGGTGTTGCTGAATTTGCACACTATAATTTAACGAGCGAATCTCAGGGTAGAGAGGCACATGGAAAAAAAAACTTATAGAGGTTCAAAGATTTAGTAAAAACTACTTGACATGTCACTGAATGAGAGCGATAGAGTTGCCAAAAGTGACTTAGCAATTTTACTACCTGAACACCAAGAATCGTGCTAATATACATATACATTTTGATTTTGCAAAAATTCAATTTTTGAGACTGCTATCCTAAGCATTAAGGTTATGTGAGAAAAAATGCGGCATAATATTTTTAGAAGTAGGAGACGAAAGGTAGGACTGTGTTGATTTTTTGAATTTATTAATGTCCTGTCAAACTGCGCTAGAACCATTGAACTCTATTTATCGCACCAGAACGGTTCCGCCAAGGTTGTATTTAATGGGGATTATTGGCGGTGTGGGGGTGGGACGCTAACCGCGGCAGGGATTTTTTTCTACCTGTTTTTTGGTGGCAAATCTTTTGTTTTCGGGAACTTTATGAAATCCTTACGATCGTTCACCGTCACCGTCAAAAAATTGTCATAATATATCAAAACGACTTGGTTTAAAGACGGATGTCTTTAAACCAAGTCGTTTTGATATATTATGACAATTTTTTGACGGTGATATTCTTGTGTATGTAGAATAACCTACTAATAATTTCACGCTGTTGTTTCATTTTTTTTAGGTAAGTATTATATGATCTGCTTTTAATTTTTCAAAGAAACTTCCACAGGCTACTGTAATACTTTTTACAAAACTTCTGGACTGAAACAGTTACAGTCAAGCTCTGAAGAACCCAACAGGATGATTGGCGAAACGTCAGCAAGTTCGACTCAGCAAAAACCTATAAAGTATTTCGTGGTACTAACGAAAATTGTTCATTTTATTTTATCAGTTGTATGATATGATAATGTATACTTGTGCGCATTATTCAGAAATAAACAATAAATGTATATATTTAAGTAAATAAGTGTGTATTTAACGTATTTTACGTAGAATTCTCCAGAAAAAATACTGCTATATATATCTGCTGTATATTTTTTTAAAAAGTCGTTGCATGAGCTTTTTGGAAGGTTCTTAAAGAGGTTAGATTTTATATAAATATTTAAATCAATCTCCATTCTAACGTTACTTCGCCTTTTTTATGATTCTCATATTATATGTGATGAAGTTCTTTGTTTTGAAGTCCCGTTATTTATCAAACAATCCTTGCAGACAATTTTTAAAAGTCATTGTCATCGCGATTGGTCGTTAAAGAAAAATAAACCGCTGCATAAACGATCGATTGCAGGTCCGATCCGACCTCTAGATTAGATAATGCACAAACTCGCAAAAGGCCTCAAGAAGAAGAAGAAAGACAAAAAGTCGAAACGGGCCAAAGACGAGGAGCTTTTCAAACCGGAAGAGCTTGAGGAGTATCGGCGCCAACATTGCGGCACCAGCGAACCGCCTGCCGAAAACGAGGAGTGGAAAAAGTTTATATCGCTCACTTCCGGAGTAGATCACGTCTTGAAGAAGACCCAGGACGACCTCGATCGGATAAAGGTATAACCTCTTTTCAGTGACGTATATGGACGAAAAGAAGTTTGAGTGGGATGCAGTTCCCTTTTCTTTAATGTTAGTTTATTTTCTCCTGCAAATTTGGCAGCATTTCAATTTGATTTTGTAAGTACCAATATAGGCGCACTGGTTCCAATTATTTCTACGGTGTCCTGTTCTCAAAATGTCCTTATGGATAGTTTGTTATTATTGAAGATACAAGATGCCATTTCAACATCACTGCCCTACTTTTTTGGTACTTCACAGAAATGGTATAATCAGATTTTCAGTTCAGGGGAAATTGGCGATTTTAATAATTTACCACATTGCAACTTGTACAACTTTCCAACAATATAAAGTTGGGCAACTTAGTTTTGAATTTAAAGCTTTGTCACGGACCTGATATTTTTTTTGCATAATTTATAACCGTTTAAGATGCTTCCTAATTTTGTTTTCGCGATGTTTAACTTTCAAAAATATATGTCTTATGATTTTGATTTTTTATGCTTTCGATATTTTTATTATTTTCTAGTATAAGGAGTTTTATTGTTTCCTATAAACCTTCAGAAATTTAAACTTGCTTTATTTTTATAAATATAAAGCCCATTTTTAGTTATAAGGAAATCATATATCTATAAATCTAACCAACAAATCTAAAATGTAGTATTTTTCAAATCGAACTCGTATAGATAGCAACCGAATTGGATGTAAATAAAACTTTTAATTGAAATTTTAAATATGCCATTTTATTTCTGTTAGAAAGTTGCAAATGTGTTGCGAAAAATCAAAATATCTTTTATATTAAAGAAATTTTTCAACTTTTCGTCGTAGCTAAGATAATAGAGATGCTTTTCAAAATGTGATTAGACAATGTTTCAAGCCTCATTAAAGTAATGAAGTAAAGTGCATTGGCTCTGTTTTTAGAGCACTTCGTTTTTTCAACGATCGCCAGCGCCGAGCAAACCCGAAGAAAAGCCGATTGCTCACGAACAACGTGCCGAGAGACTAGCGCAAGAAAAAGAAGAACCCGAGCCGGAATTGGGTATCGTGCCGGTGTCTGAATCTGAATCCGAAGAAGAAGAAGAGGACGATGTGTTCGACACTGCCTACATTGACGTGATCGCTTCAGGCGAAGTGCAACTCGCTTATATCCCGGAATCGCCTACAGAAAAAGAGGGCGACGACCCTTTCGATACTAGTATCGCCGAAAGGGCGATATTGGGACCGGCGGTCGATAAAAAAGGCAAGAAACTCGTACCGCTCGGCGCAGCAGTCGAAGTGCTTACAGGTCGGGTTCAGTTGCCCACTTGCGCCACTAAAGTCGCAGCCGGTAAAAGGCGACAACCCCTCAAGGAGCCGAATTTGTTGCTTGGTAGTTTTGACAGCGGCCCTGATTACTCACACGCGGCAAAACTTGTCGGTAAGTTTAAGCACTATTTTTTTCGCATTGCCCGAGTTTTTTAGAGGATTCTTAACTAATAAAAGCTCCTCCTCAACTGTGAGTTTTCGTATCTTATTCTATGTACACGTGCTGTCATCTGTCGAGAATCTGTACTCTGGAATTTGATATCTCAAGAATTGTTTCTGGGGATACGGGGGCTGCAGAAGAAACGTATTCCTTCTACTGACGAAAATTTTAAAAAATCGTTTAGAGTCATCGGAAAAGGTAAAGACTCTTCTGGACGACGACGACGTGCCAAAAATCGACACACCCATTGACCTGACCACATCGTTGTACGTAGCTCCGATCCCTGCTTCTGACTTACCTCAACAGGCCAAACTTCATTACGAAGGCGACGACGACGACGACAAAGAGTTTGAAGTGTTAGCCGCACAAAGTCTATCCAAAACTTCCAAAGTTGTCGTCGCGAGTATACCGACTGTTTCTGACGTTGACGTACCACCGGCCAGTGCCGATTGGCAACCATTCGCAGACACGTAAGAGCAGAAAGAGATGGCGCGTCGGTGAGGTTGACAGATTTCGTTGTATAAATTTAATAAAAAATCGAAAAAGAAAAGCAATTAAAACCTATTTCACGGAAGTCCGTAAAAAACGAGGAAGTTCGACTTATTTTAAGGAATTTTGAAAATAACTTGGAATGTCGACTTATTATACAGCAAGACGAAATTAAGTCGCTACTCCAATTTATTGTAAGGAATTCCTCATTAAAAGTCGCAATTTGTATTCTTCCGTTAAACAAGTCGAAATGACTAGTTTAAAAGATTCCGTAAAATCAGTCGCATTTAGACTAAATTTAAAGAATTTCGTAAAATACGTCTCAATTCAGGAATGCTGTAAAACATTTCGTAATTCCGATTGGTTGTTAAGAATTTTATAAAATACATGCGGCGGGAAAACCATTATTTGATTTGAATTCGGAGGCGGTCGACCCGAAGCTTCGACACAATTCGGAGCCACAGGTCCTAAAAGAAATGGACCCTGAAAATGTTTTTTTATTAATATTTCCGAAACCTGTTCAATTTTTTGTTTTGTAGAAATATAGAAATAATATCTGAATCCTAATTTTAAAATTACGAGGATTCAATGTCAAAATTGCAATTACTTTTTGTGGGTTGATTTTTAGAATTTTTTCGAATAAATTCAGAAAAATTGTGTTCTATTACGAGAAAAAAAAAATGCTGGGATGGATTGAAAAATAGGCCTTGAAACCGCATTGATTGGTTTGTTATTTTTTGTTATTTTAACTAAAATTCTCAAAAACATTTCCATTAATTTGATTTCCAGCAACATCAGTTCGTCTTAGCAATTCTTCCGGACTAGTTACTTCTGTGGCATAAGAGTTGCCCCACAGATAATAATATAGCAGTTTGAAGTCAGGCTATCGAGCTGGCCAATTTATTGGGCCACTTCGACCTTTCCATTTGTTTGCAAAATGTTCATCTAACCAATTTATTACGCCCTGCTCAAAGTGACTTTCAAAGTGCTCCTCCATCATGCTGAAAGAGAGGAGAAAGCGAGTACGTGTGGGAATATTCTCTAACAATTCGGACAGTGGCGGCTTGTGAGAAAAATTTTAAGGTGTTCTGCAATTCTTGCAAAGAAACTTATCTTATAAGGGGCTTGTGTCCAATCGATTGTGTCGTGCTTTCTGGGGCTTCCATCCTGAAATTATGCATTTTTGATAATTGTCATACAAAAAAAAAGAGTCATCTAGAGAGGCAACTCAACAACACTGGAAAATAACGGCGAAACTTTTTCTGTAATTTATAAAAAAATGCCAATGTGAAGAGAATAATACATCATATCTGCTAACTGGCGAACTCAACAATAGCCAGATTGGCGAGAAAAGTGGACTGTATAATTTATAGGAAAACGACGAATTGAGACCTTACCTTAGTATGTGTTTGATCGCACTGATAGTCTCAGATTATGCAGGGAGTCGACCGGCTGAGGCGATTGGTACTCTCTAAATGGTCACTAACTGATAATTGTTAATTATAGTCAAAACGGAAACCATTGCTTGAACTTTGCACTTGCGTATACCCCTCAAAACGTACCGCGAAATTAAAATAATTTAAAATAATTTAAAAGTCCCCTTTTAATGTTAGGGCAACTAGCATTAGAAAAATGACTAAATTCAATTATTTAAACTATTAAAAGAACACATAAACGTAACATTCCGCCCACCAAAATACAACGTATTTTTTTTAAATCTGCTATTGACAGCGGGCACAGTTTAATAACCGAGCGCTTGACAGTACTCTTTGAAGTTTTGACAAGAACCACTCTAACTATACCGTCTGTACCGGGATACACTTGAATTGCATTGGCGGGGCGAGATCATCTTTTATTAGTACTAATTACAACAGAAGAAGGATTTTTGTACCATTTGCTACGCTGATAATTCTTTGGACGGCCAGAAGTCTTAATGTCTTCGCTGGAGTAGTTGCCAACGGTCTAAGTGACCAAGAGAAGTCGAAGTGTAATCGGGTTCAGGGGGTAATGTAAGAAAATGACGCGGCGCCAGGGCTGAAACATCGTTGGGATCGCTACTAATAGGGGTAAGTAAACGAGAATTCAAAATGACTTCAATTTGGATGATAACAGTGTTCAACTTTTCATATGTTAACATCTGACCACCAACCACTCTGCAAAGGTGACTTTTAACTGCTTTCACCCCCCTTCCCATAACCCACCAAAATGTGGGAGCCGAAGGCAGGTGGAAAGGCCACTCTCTATTGGCGGACTCTCGCATAAAACTATTTAACTGCTTTTGAGCACCTGCAAAATTTGTGCCACAATCACTGTTCACATCTACCCCTGCGAGCCAAAAAGCGAGGTAAAGCAGCTAAAAAGGCGTCACGGAGTAACAAACAAACAGACAAATATAAGCATTGAGAAGCCTAGCACCCCGAACGCGGGACATCTTAATGGTTAGCGGCCCAGCATAATCTACACCCGCGTACCGAAAGCATTTCACTTGGGAAAAATGAGCGAGACGTATAACACTGATTTGGGATTCATTCTCCAAAATTGTACTGTTTGGATACCTGCATGAAAATATTTGAAATGTATATATTCCACAATTAATTCAGTAAGGCGGCTTTTGCTAGGTAAGAGAGCTGGATGTTTTTCTTCGTAAGCAAGGGGAGCTCGCCGAAGTCTTCCTCTGACCCTTGTGGGTCTAAAAGAACACACAGTTTTTGCAGAGCTGTGGAACGGGTTTTATTTTTATGTAATGCTAAAATTTCGTCGTTAAAGAAGAAGCGTTGAACGTGTCTAACAAAATCTGCATTGATTCGTGCATTTCTCGACTTTTAATATTGTGTATAAAACGTAAAATGTACGAAAACACACGTTGCAAGCGATCAAACTCAAAAGTAAGGCCTCAATTCGCCGTTTTCCTATAAATTATACAGTACACTTTTCTCGCCAATCTGGCAATTGTTGAGTTCGTCAGTTAACATTTGGTCCCATCGAACCGGATCACTTTTTTATTCCAAGGATTTTTGAATAGGGTTCAGCACTTTGTAACTTTACCAATTAATTTGTTGTATTCATCAAACACGTCTGACAAGCTTAAAAAAACTAAACTTCTTAGACAAAGCGAAATAAGTTGTTTGAATGAGGTTTTTGAAGTCGCAAAACAAACTGAAACTGATCCAAATAGCCAAATTTCATTTGAAATGCGTTATAAAGAAATAGATTTTATTAGAGAAGATTTTTGTAAAATTAGAAGTTCCTTTGAAAATAACTATTATTACATAAAATCCGTATTTCATCTATTAAGTGTTCTTAAGTGTTAATTCTTCCAAAAATTATCATACCTACTTTTTCTGGTGATGTCTCGACCTTTACGTCGTTCGAAGATATGTTTGATGCACTCATTCATGAAAATTGGACTCTCTCTAATGATGAGAAATTCAATTATTTGTTGAGTACTTTAAAGGGACAACCTTTATTACTTATCCAAAATTTACCAATGGACGGACAATTATTTAACTGCTTATAACATCTTAGTGCATCGTTATAAAAGAGTTAGGGTGGTCGCAGCCTCGCACTGGACGGCAATAGAAAACAGCCCTAAGTTAGCCTCAGATAATGCTCAAGATTTGAGAAGAATATTTTTAAAGACAATCTAGCAGCTCTCAAAAATTTGTGTTAGGAATATTGCTGGACTATTACGCAAATTCTCTGTTCGAATGTTCAATATTTAAAAAAAACTTCAAAGACAATGTAAATACAAAAACACCATAAATGTCAAACTGAAAATAAAATAACAATCTTATGAATTCTATTTGAAGACTTTTTTTTTCAATTTTTGACGAATAAATTATATGGGCATGCTAAGCTGTATATTTTTGAAGTTCATTTTCCCAAAATTTACATTTATAATGTTAGAATCAGATGTAGCATGCCAAATTACCAAAATTCTAAAATTTCAAAACTTTCTCTCAACCTGTTTCGGAAATATTAATAAAAATCATTTTCAGGTCCATTCTTTTTAGGGCTTGTCCGTCCGTTAGGGGCGTTTCTCGCCATATGTTAATATAGAAAACTAATCTTGGGATGTAATATATGCTGTCGAAGTTTGGCTGACTGATTTCGTTACACCCCGTATATAGATAGATCTCACCACCGTGCGGCGACATTAACGTGCGTATACATTAGCGTGCAGCAAACCTCCCTCGAACCATAGGAAACCTTCAAAAGAACATTCATTATTGACTAGCTTGACAAAAAAAAATAAACAAACGATGTTGGTAGCACATTTAAAAAAATGGCAGAGACCTAATACTGACAAGGCAAGCGGTTTGACCGCGGAGCAGGCACACGCTGACGTATACGCACTGTTCCTCCTTCCGGACCAAATGGTAATTTTCAGCCTAGCGGACAAAGAAATCCCGGTCCAGGACGATAATGAGCCGGATCCTTTTGATACAACATTCGCAGAGAACATCCTGCCGGGAAAGGCTGAACTAAAGGTTATCGAGAAAGAGATTTTGGATAACGATATCGACTTCGACCCCCGTGCATCGCCGGTCTTTAGTGATACCGTCAACCTGCGAAAGGAACCTGTTTCATCAGGTACTTTCCAGTTGTTTTTTAAACGCGTTTTGGGTGGATTTATTATTATTAATCTTTAATTTCTATGCATAACTGCAAAGCTTTTAAGAAAATTGTCCAATTCAAATGTCTTTATATAATTGTGGAAGAGGTAATTGATTTCTCAAATTATATGACATCACCCTAGCACAGGGGAACGGAAAAATGTGACTAACCATCGGCTAAGACGCGAGTTTTTACAAAATAAAAAATGTGTATCATGATCTAATTAATTTATCAATGAGCCCACTCTAATTTCAGAGTTTTCATCGGATACGTTGAAGGTAGAGGACCGCGATTTGCTGGGCGGCAGCGTAACCGACTTGTCCGCCCTTTCCGTCACCGTTCTTCAGCCTGCCGAAGATCCGGAAGAAATAATCTATCGGGATCCGTTCGACACTTCAATAGTCGATTCGGTTAAGCAACCGGGGAAAGCGGAACTCAGGTATTTGGAAAAGGAGCTGCTGGGTGATCTCGACGATGAGTTCGATCCCAGAGCCGGTGAACAAATCAACACGAAGGAGAGAACACTGTCGCGTCCTGATATACTGAACGTATCGTCGGGAAAAAGCGTGTCTTTCGCGGTATCGTCGACCCGGTCCGATTGCCCGGAACTCGACGAAAGCTCGAAGATAGCGAAACCGTTGACTCCTTTTTATGTGAGAAAGAATTCGGTGCCAGGGTTAAGAGAAGATTTGTCGGAGCAGGATTTCGACGAGTCGTACGACACTTCGTTGGCGAAATCGACGCCGTTGGATCTCCTCGAGTCGGAAGATATTCCGGTGAAGGTCCTGACGCCCGCCGCTGGCGCGAGCGGTGCTACATCACTCCCGAAACTTGGACAGTAAGTTTGTGCGTCAGAATTATTTCTAATTCACTTTAATTCGAAGGTGTGAAATGAGACGCAACAGTCTATTACAACAAATATTTATTTTTTCAAAATTGCAAAATTTCTTTGTTATGTTTTATAATAAATCATCCAAATCTTTGTTGTCGCTTTTTTGGTTTGTCAACGTCTGAGTCGCCCTCAATTATTCGCCTTTCTAGCTAAGGCTGCGCTTTTATTTAACAACTTATGTGGTTACGACAGTCTCTTCTTCTTTTGCAGTAAATTATTGTTTATAATCTAAATGTATTTTTGGGATTGTGTTCCATAATCTTTGGGGTTACGACAGTCTTTTATTATTTTCATTATAAGTCGTGGTGTGGCATTCAAGCAGTTGTCAATTTTACCACCGTTCTCTCTCCGACCAAACACTGCGATCAAATTCGTTGCGGTAAATATATTATAAGGGACATTTTTCCCGCGGACAGCGACCCGTTCGACACGTCCACCGCCAACATACTACCCGGAAAAGCGGAACTTCGTGTCTTAGAGGATGAACTGATTAACCGCCATCACATCAGTACATCTGACGACGACCTGCTCGTTCACAACGGTGACTCGATTATCGCCAAGCCCCTATCGCCCCAAATCGAAGACGAAATCGACCCTTTCGACACCAGTTTCGCATCCAATATTTATCCAGGCAAGGCCGAACTGAAAGCGATCGAATCCGAGTTGATTTAATCGCAATGGCGGCAAATCCGTTTCTCTTCGCGGAGGACTGCTTGAGCGGTCCCGCCACTCAACCCCAGGCTACGCTCAACCCGTTCCTGATGGACGAAGAGGTTTCGTTTGTCGACGAGAACCCGTTCCTCCCGCAACCCGCTACGGCTGCTACGAACCCCTTCGCTTTCGACCCGATGGAATTGGAACCCGCTGAAGCGGAGGTACCTGGTGACCATCCCGCCTTCATGGAGACAAGTTCCGCTAACGATTTCTTCGTGACGAAACCGACGGAGTTACATTTGGAATACTCGCATCACGAGCTACCGGCGAGACCTCCCCCGCCACGTCCACCCCAGTCCAAGGAGACCCAAGACCTGCTAATGTCGGTCATGGGGGAGATGGATGCGACTAGCTCGCAGCTGCTTAACAAGATTCCTCCAACGAGGTCCCCGAGTCCCGTGTCAATGAGGGACTTGCAATCTCCTAGTCCCACCCCCGACACACAGTTCGGAGATTTGCTGGTCGTGGGTGATGTCAACCCAAAGCTCAGCAGTACTGAAGATTTATTAAACTTGAGCTCGTCGTGCGATATTAATCAAAATCCATCGGTGAATCAAGCTCCACCGAGACCAGTACCGCCTCCGGCCAGACCTGCGCCGCCGGTGAGGCCGCCGCGGCCCGCCCCTCCGCAAAAACCGCCTCCGCCTTTGACGGCGCCTAAAATCGCGGCGGTGCCGCAGGAAAACACCGGACATGAACTGCCGACGCAAAACGACATCGCCGATTTGTTCGGCGCGCCTCCGCAACCCAAAATCGCTTCCAAGGCCGACATACTTAATCTCTATAATGTGCCTAAGCAGGAGAAGGTTCAGGATTTGTTGTGCGACGCGGTAATAGAAGTTCAGAATACGCCGATAGTGAGTATTTAAAATAATTTCTTCTGCCAAAGTAACTAGTCTTTGTAGCCAAAATTTTAGCAAGTCAAGTAATAAGATATCTCAAAAATGAGAATATATAAATATGACTATCCACATTGCACAAACAACATTAAATAAAGTAATGTTTTTTTATGACAAACATAAATGGCGCTCATGCCGGTTAACATATAATTTAAATTCGTATTATGTTTTTTATTTTAAACTTGAAATTTTGTAGTTGGAACATTTTATTTAATATTTCGAGGTATATTATATATTTCAAAATGTAGCGAATGTCTTTCTTCTCATTTTCTTTTCTGCATCCAATCTTATTCTCAATAATTTTACTGTGCTATTATTTTTTCATTTTGGTTTAGTGGAGAATATTGTCCAAGTTTAATCTAACTTACTGACGTTTCACCAATCATCCTGTTGGCTTCTTCAGACCTTAACCGAAACTGGGTTGCATGTTCAATGGGGCAGAGCAAAAGGAGGCGTGAACACTGTATCGGATGAATGATCGATATTGGTGAAAGGTAATGACCGGGTTTAAGCCGCGGTTAAGATTGGTTGCTTATAGATTTCTATAGATTTTCCGTTGGTAGAAGATTTGATTACATGCAAGAATTTTAGTTTTATCGAACAAAATTTGACGTCCAGTTTCGTGATTGTGTTCGTCACCTGCAGATGAGTATATTTATTAGGCTCTTTCAAGTTCTTTGAACCTAGTTGATAAGGTCTCTTAAATGTATTCTTTACCGTATATGCGTGGAATGCTCTAAACTCCTAGTATCTCAAACCAAATTTTGTCTTTGACGGATCGAAACCGTTTAGAGATTTTTGGACAAGTAAATCTGGTTTTTACATTATATTTCTGGTGATATTTTGAATGTAAGAAAGGATAACAGTGGCAAGTGTGGGGTTGCTTTCGTGCTCATTGTCTTTGGAAGATTGTGGTGAAGTATATTTTGAGATGGAACGCTTAATATCTAATGTAGAAATTATTAGATGTAAGGTGTTTTAATTCTGGGTTCAGTGACTCGGGCTGAGATAGTTTTGCGGCTCTGTAAACAAGAAAGTTGATAACCGATGATTTTTGGGCCGGATGCTGATCTGACAATGCATTAAGATAAGTCTGTGTGCATTGCATAGAATGTCCCAATGTTAGGTCCGATTTTCTATTGGTAAGAATATCTAAGAATGGGAGATACAGGAACTTTCATCATTCCATGAATATGTGGCAAAGATAACATTGGAAAGACCGGACGAAAAATATGAATTTGGTTCAAAGAACATGAAAGGGCCTTAAGACTACGACAAATTAACTTATCAGCAGTTGCCGAACATATTCGCAAAACCGGAAATCAAATTTTATCCGATAGAACTAAAATTCTTGTATGTAATCAATTCTTCTAAGAACGAAAAATACGATAACTTATAGAAAACCCAAACATTCTTAACTGCGAGTAAGGCCTTTCGTTAAGATGGGACTCAGCCATCCGACAAAATGTCCATGCCCCTCCTTTAGCTCCGCCCCCCTCAAATATAGAAGCAGGTACAGAGTAGAATGCGAGCCAATTTCATTTAAGCTCTGAAGAAACCAACAGGATGATTAGCGAAATGTTAGCAAGTTTGATTTATTTACAACCAACGCAGGACGAGTCCAAAAGATTTGTAAATATTGTCGTCTGTGGAAGTTTGTTCACGTAAATAATGAATAGAAAAGGTCTCAATATGAAGCTTTGTGGAATTCCATCGGTACCCTTGACACCAACTTAGGTAATTTTCTAAGTAAAAGGCGATGCGATATGCGGAGAAACGCTCAAGACCGCAGACCACCATCTCAAGCACATATGAAACGACTTGTATTGCTGATTTACCTTCTGTAAATCCAAACTGAGTAGTATCTATTCCTAAGTTCTATATCCCCCGTCCCCCGGGGGGAGATTTTGAGATTGCAAATTTACAGAATCAAAACCAACCCAAAAAAAAAGAAAAAAAAATAGTTTGACCATTCGACGAGAGATGTCGCGCTAATTTAACGCTGAGATTTAATGATTAAAATGTTAGGAATTGTATATATTTGATATTTGATGCAATACCGGGATAAAAAAATAATTTAAATGTTCCATCAAACATTACAAGTAATTTTTTTCTGGTTAAGTGTTGTATTAGAACATTTATTTTTATATTACTTAAATGTATCAACCTAATAAAAAACGTGTGCATAGTTGAATTATTAAAATATTTTTAAACTCGATTTTCTCAGAACTTGAATTTTGCACTTATTTCACTGTCGCTTGAAATTTTTCGGTAAACCAGTCCGCACGTTCTGTCCATTTCCAGGTGCTGGAGGCCGCTGGATCGGCCTCTGTGCCGGAATCTTTACCGACGGAAAACCCGATTCCGGAGCAGCCTTCCGAGTCACCCGTCAACTCCAACTTCGTTACGGACATTGCGCCAAGCGTTATGCGGGCTACCCTATCCCCCGAACCTCCAAACGAGTTGAACATGGACACCGGCAGCAGTCAGAGCAAGGAGTCAGTGTCGAGTGTCACTTTTAACCCTTTCGCCGTCGAGGCCGATCCGAAGGACACGTTCCGGGAGAGTCTAGAGACCGCCTTCCAGAAGGAACACAAAATGGAGGTGTCGATATCTCCGACGGCGGCCCCTGCCCCTACACCGGTACCAACTGCGGCACAGAACGAATTCGATTTCGGCGTCGGAGACGCAAAACGCGACGATGATGTCGACGATTTCGACGCGTTCGCGCAGAAGTTTGAGTCCGTGAAATCGGACGACAGCGATAAGAAGGCCGGAGCGTTTGACGCGTTCGCGTCCTCGAATAACAACGTGTGGGGCGGCAACGATCTCGGCGGTTTTACCGAGGGGGCCGGCGGGTTCGATAACGACGAACCGTTCGATGCATTTTTAGCTATGGAGGCGCCGACGGCGCCGGCGAAACGTCACGAGTCGCAGGATTCCGACGAAGAGAAAGACTTCTCGGTGGTGATAAGGTGAGACTCCGTGGACGCGGAAAACTTTTGATTTGTTATTTATAGCGTAATGTAGTACTAAGATTTTTCGCGGGTTAACTATTGGTGTTACAATTTTGTAAGACGTCCATTAAACAGTAAAACAGTTCAAGTTTTATAAAAAAAAATATCTATAGAACCTTTGTAGTTGGCGACTCTTCTCTAAAATGCCTATTTATTTGTCGATCTAGCCTGAAGAAAGTGTCATTTTGCCATATCAGTTTTGTTTCCCACGGGTCCAAGTCATTTCGGACGTTTCTGGGATATTTTCCACGCCTTGAATTTTGACGTTTGTCAATTCTGATAGCCATGTCAGTGCATTTATTCGTGTTCTTTGCAAAAATGTTGACGTTTGGTAAACTTTTTAACCCCGTTGCCGTTTTCCACACTTGTTGCATAACCTTCTACTTTACCCTTTTTTAAAAACCTTTTTACCTTTTACTCTTGGGTTTTTATTGCTTACCCCGTGAAGCTCTTATGAATCTTAAAGCAGCTAATAAATTCTACAGCTATTATAAAACTTGAACTCCTATGCGTTTTTTCACAATTTTAAAAGGTTATTTTAGTTTAATTCTACAAGTAAGGTTATGATTGCTTAATTGAAATTTAACATCTACGCACTAATAGTTTTCAATTGATTTCCGATTACTTTTAGTTTTATAGCTGTTACGAAGGGTTTTATTTATGGTAACTTTCTGGTAACTTATAAAACGATAAGTAAGTCCAAAATCCATATTGCAAGAGCAATATTGCAATATAAAATAAGTTTTTAAAAAGTGAATTCGATGGACATTGCGTCTTTTTATATGGCGGCCTTATTAATTTTTTTTGAATTATCTTAAATATCTTTATATAAAAGGAAGAATAATTATATGAATACATAAAGTTGTCCTGAAATTTCAAGGCACATTTCTTCAACAATATGCTATTAAAATGGGATCTGCATTTCAATTGCAAGAAAAGAGACAATTTTAACTTTTTAACAAAATTACATTTTAAAGTGCTTGAAACCGGGTTGCTTTAGTTTTAGGAGCGGTTTAGAATGGATTAAAACATTTTCATAATTACGTCAAAGTAAAAGTCCATTGCCGTCAACTTTAGAGTTAAAGCTAGTTACAAATAAATGCGGCCTAACAGTTTTATATGGCAAAATTTGATCGCCGTCGCCTTTATAAGATTCTTCATTTAAATACAATATGACGTTCAAAGAGCAATGAAACCGCTATCATTAACAAACAAAAAATTGTAGGTGCGTACCATGGCAATTTCCTTTTTCCGGGAAGCCCCCTCTAATGACGCCCTCACGTAATCGTTATATCAGTTAGTAGATATTTTGTGCGGTTTCCGCGACATTTCTTTCCATTTAGCTAAGAGTCTATGTTTTACCGTCTTCTAGGCCGAAGGCAGAACAAGAATTTGCAGGTGCTATGCCCGTAATCGCCCCGCCCCCCGTTTCGGTCCAGGCAGCTTTCACCGACACCTCCCCCCGTTTCAACCCTTTCGACCAGCAGAACGACGTGAAATTCAGTTTCGCACCGCAGGAAGCGGTCGTCGTTGGTAAGCCCACGTCCAGCACTTCCATGCCCAAAGCGCTCAGTTCAAAATTCCGCTTTCAGACGCCCAGATGAAGAGGTCGGAGTCGCAAGAGTCGCCTTCGACCCCGCTGTTCGACGAGGACGTGTCACAACCGTTGGAGGACTTCCCCAGGATTAACTATGCCGGTGAAGGGTGGGAGATGCAACTCCGTCAACCGAACAAGAAGAAAATCACGGGGCAAAGGTTCTGGAAGAAGATATTCGTCAAGTTGGTGTACCAGCAGGACTGCGTGCTGCTGCAGCTGTTCAATCAGCAGGCGGACAAAGACCCGTTCCAGGAGTTGCCGCTTCAGCCGTGTTATTCGGTGTCGGAAATCGGCGCCCAACAGTACGATCAGTTCGGTAAAATATTCACCGTCAAGCTGCAGTATATCTTCTACAAGGAGAGACCCGGAGTGAGACCGGGTCAGGTGAAGAAGGCGGAAAGGATCACGAATAAACTAAGCCAGTTCGCCGCCTACGCGATCCAGGGTGATTATCAGGGAGTGAAGGAGTTCGGCAGCGACTTGAAAAAGCTCGGTTTGCCGGTCGAGCACGCGCCCCAAGTGTCTCAGCTCATGAAGCTTGGTTCGCTAAGCTACGAGGACCTGAAGCAGTTTTCGTTTAGCGTGGAGGAAGCGTTGTTTCATCTGCAAGCGCACAGGGATCGCGCGCTCCATTATAAGATGGAGGAGGTGCAGGTAACGGCGGTCGACGAGCTGTACGTCGAGCAATCCGCCGAAGGTCACGTGGACAAACAGATTGCGAGGGTGAGACTGTTTTTCCTCGGCTTCCTTACCGGTATGCCAGATATCGAGCTTGGTATAAACGATATGAGGAGGCAAGGTAAGGAGGTGGTGGGACGTCACGATATCATCCCCGTGGTCACTGAGGAGTGGATCCGGCTAGAGAACGTCGAGTTTCACTCGTGTGTGCAGCAGGACGACTACGAGAAAACGCATATTATCAAGTAAGGCGGTTTCCATAATGTTTTCGTCGATGGAATTTGTTTGTCCCTTGTCATGCAACGGGAAATAGAGACAAATACCTTTTTTAATTTATTTGTTTGTTTTTGTTTGTAACCAAACCACCCCTCCCCCTGTCTTGTTTCAGGTTTAAGCCTCCGGACGCCTGCTACATAGAGCTGTTGAGATTCCGTGTGCGACCGCCCAAAAACCGCGAACTTCCATTGCAACTGAAAGCCCAGATCTGCGTTACGGGCACTAGGGTAAAGTTCCTACCTCAATCCAATTTTTGAAACTGGGGAACGACGTTTTTTTACAAATACATTAAACAGAATGTTAATTACAGACACTTATTGAGTTGAATTAATATAAAATAAATGTTCCGTGTGTGGGAAAAAACATACCAACTGAAAAAAGGGGCAAAAAAAAATACCAGCGAAAAGCAGTTGGCAGCAGAACAGCTTAAAAATCAATATAATGAAAAAATTTCAAAAAGATCCGAAATAAAAAGATAATCACTTTAAGTTAGCGTGATAGTGTTACAGCTAGAGCAGCGTTTAAATTGATTTGAATTATACTTGGGAACGACGCGTGTTAATTGAATGAATATCTGAGCCTTTGAAGACTATTTTTTTTGAAGTTTTTAGTTAGAACAGCCAGCAACAGACTGCATTTAAATAAATTTCACCCGAATTTTAGTCATTTTCCTGCGATTAAATTCGGAAAAATTGAAGCAGTGATATATTGCTTTGTCCAAAACATTTTAGTTAAAAGCTAAGAAATAAAGTGTGACGTGTATCAAGCGAAAGCACTTCTTCAGGTTCGAGCATTGCAGCTGATTATTCACTTTCTGATTTAGATTGAGCTTAGAGCGGACGTGTTAGTACCCGGCTTCGCTTCACGAAAACTGGGTCAAATACCCTGCGAGGACGTGATGATTCGGTTCCCTATACCCGAATGCTGGATCTACATGTTCAGGGTTGAGAAACATTTCAGATATGGCTCGGTCAAATCGGCTCACAGAAGGTGGAAGTAGATCTCCCACCCGTTTGCCTTGCTCAAAGTTTCGTTTTCAGGACGGGCAAGATTAAGGGAATCGAACGGATCCTCGGGACGATGGAGACGTTGCAGGAGAACCTGATAGAAGTGACGTCTGGTCAGGCCAAATACGAGCATCAGCACCGGGCGATCGTGTGGAGGTGTCCAAGGTTACCCAAGGAGGGCCAAGGGGCTTACACGACACACAACATGGTGTGCCGGATAGCGTTGACGAGTTACGATCAAATGCCGGAGAAACTGGCGGAGTACTGCTACGTGGAGTTCACGATGCCAGCGACGCAAGTCAGCCACACCACGTGTAGGAGCGTCAGCCTGCAGAATTCGGACAGTGACGAGCCGCCGGAGAAGTACGTCCGGTATTTGGCGCGTCACGAATACAGGTGGGTTTTTCGTTCTTTTTTTGGTATTTATATATATATATATATATATATATATATATATATATATATATATATATATATATATATATATATATATATATATATATATATATATATATATATATATATATATATATATATACATATATGACGAGTAACGAGTAACCAACGAGTAACCAATGACCAATGATCAATGAATCGCAACTGTATTTTTATATCCAGCTTTATCGCGTAAGGAATTTGTTTTTTTTTTGTTTTTTTTGTATCTTAGCAACACGGTTTTGTTATTAATGTTTTTGTTTTATACTTACTAGGATAGATCAATACTCAATTCTAACTGCAACTTTTATTCAGCAGCAAAATAACATAAAGCGATATTGGCATACATGCATAAATCCCTTCCATCTTTCAAAAAATGTTATTATAGATGGGCAAAGTAGTAATGGAAATCAAATTTTAAGTTAACCTAGATTAACCGGGCGTTGTGAAATTAATTAATTAAATGTTTATGACATTTTACGTGACGAATGATGAATGACGAATGTCCAATGGCCAACGACCAATGACGAATGCCCAATGAGCAACGACCAATGGCGAATAACCAATGACCGACGACCAATGACCAATGACCATGACGAATGGTGCATGATTAATGACTAATGACGAATGTCGAATATCCAATGACTTACGACCAATGACCATTTACAAAGCACCAAGCACCAATGACGAATGACTATGCCGAACAACCAATGACCAATAACGAATGAATGATCAAAGACTAATGACGAGTAAATTTTGACGTTTGTCAATTCTGACATTCATGTCAGTGAATGTATTCGTGTTGTTCTGCTTAAATGTACCCAAAAATTATACCCGAAAAAGTATGGTATGGTATATGACCAATGGCGAATGACGAATGAATGGCCAATGACGAATAACGAAATACCAATGACGAATAACGAAATACCAATGACCAATGATGAATGACCAATGACAAATGGCAAATGACCAATGACTAATGACGAATCACCAATGACCAATGAATGACAAGTGACGAATGACCAATGAAATATGACGAATGACCAACGACCAATGACGAATGGCCAACGACCAATGACGAATGAATTACTAATCACGAATGACGCATGACGAATATCTAATGACCAACTACCAATGACCAATAGCGAATGACCAGCGACCAATGGCCAATGACGAATGACGAAAGACCAATTGCAACTTTTATTCAGCAGTAAAATAACATAAAACGATATTGGTATACATGCAAAAATCCCTTCAACCTATAAAAAAAAAAGATTTTTTTATACTAACTAATACTAACCAAAACTAATGGAAATCAAAATTAAAGTTCAGTTAACCGGGCGTTATGAAATTAATGCATTAAATATTTATGACATTTTACGTCGAACGTCACTGTTTAATATATAAAAAAGCATATGAAAATAAATAAGTACTAAAAGTTTAGATTTTCACGAAATTATATATTTTTACATGACAATTGTTTCGACAACACCGTGTCTTTATCAAATGTATGTATGTATTTTTTTTTTATTTAAAGAGACTTGGGCCAGTTCTATGGCAACACCTAATTCAGGAGATTTATTTTGTTCTTTTTTATTTTTCTCAATCAAAGCGTTTACTGTGAAATTCTAAATCCATTTGATTTCTTATTAGCGTATTTCTTCTTAAAATTTTCTCATTTTTAAAATTATCGATGGTTCTTTATTGGTCGTTCCGACAGAAATCAAAACTTAAAGACCTCTTTGACCCTCAGGGTCGGCATCGAGCACACAGAGGGCGAGGCGCCAAACGCGTACGCCACTGCGACGTTCGTTAAACCCGCCGCCGCGCCGGTGGTCGAAGAAAAACCCGCGCCCGTAGCGGAAGAGTCCAGTTCCGACAGCGATTAAAAATGGAAGCGCCACTACACGCAATACCGGTCGCAAAGACAATAAGACGAAGAAGAGGAAGATGTAATGATAGTTTAAGGCGGTAATAAATGTTCGTCATATCATATGTGTCGTAGGCTGATATCAATCGCTTCGTAGTTCAACATTAAATGTCGTGTACGTACCCTGAATATTAATTAGTGGGAGCAAACCACTGACGCTCGTGTATAAAGCGCCGGCGTTTTCGTTAAATGTGATCTTGGAGCTTGAAACAGACGCTTCTTAACCGTTTTCATTTTTGGTTCTGTCATTGTGTGACGGAGGGGCGTGGTGGTGCCCCCTTTAGAAAATAGTATATATTGCATTGTTACATTTTTAAACGTAAACTAATTTACGGGTATCTACAGGGTGTTTTCAAAACGGTTCACTAATTTCTAGGGTAAACGAATTTAAAAAAAATGGATTAGTTAATACACACTTGATCCCAAAGCGCCTCCAAAAAATCGTTTGTTTATTGTTTCTGAAACAGTTTAAGATAACTAAACGCAATTTAAAGTACGAATGCTGATAAATTGTAAGTTCAAAATAATTTAAAATATCCGTTACGTCCTAACAGTGTTTCTGAAACAAATGTTATTCCCAGAAGTATTTGCTTCTGGCGCATGAAATTTACTTAAAATAATTCATTAATCCGGTCAGCATTACTTGCTTAAATCTCAAATAACTGAAAAATCAGTACATTTTTGCTTTACACAAAAGAAAAGGTACTCTTGCGTACAGCAACGGAAAACTGAGTGAAAATATTATTTTTCCCAAAAAATTAAAAATGTGGAGGTAAAATAATTGGCACCCTACGCTTCTGTACAAATATTAAAATTTTATGAGCAGTAAGTTATATGACCTATTCCAATTTATTTGCGCATTAAACCTTTTCGGAAATAATTAAAAAAACAAAAACGATTTTTTGGGGCCCCTTCTCAAGGAGGCGTTTCCGGGCAGATGTTTATTAACCAAACTAAAGTTGTTTCTATTTACCCTACGAATTAAATGAACCTTTATTGAAACATCCTGTATACGAGGAAACTGTCAAGAAATAAGCGGCTTCGGTAATAGGACGAAATACCGATGTTAAAATGTATGTTTTTAGCATATAAATCGAGAAATACTGATCGAAAACGATTAAGATCCAGGAGTAACATATAGCAGAACCAAATGGACAAAAAAAATGTAGGAAAGGTCATAATAGATTATTTAATAAAAGTTTAGTCATAAAACCTCATTAAGTCATTTACTGTTCTTTATTGTTCTTTTTAAATTTCTGAAATATGCTATAGCCCAAAATGTCATCGTAAACGTTAATATGCATTGCTTTCATTTTCGTTGTGATCGTCTCTTAATATTCGTCAATATCATCGACGACGTTATTGCTAGCGTCGCCGGTGTTATAGTTTTGTCATCAGCGTTATCGCCGTCGGTATTCTAATTATCATCATTATATTATATTTTTTTACCGTCGATGTCGTCAGCGTTGGTTAGTGACGTGGTGATCATTATGGTCGCCGTAACCTTAGTCATTATCGTTACCGATAGTATAGTCGGCGTTATCGTTAGCATCGTCGGTGTTATCATTAATATGACGCCTTTATCGTAGGCGTTATCCTTATCGTCATCCGCGTTATCGTCGTTGGTCTTCTCGTAACTGCTGTTATAATTATATAATTCCTAGCGTTATCGTTGGCGCTATAGGTGCTATCTTTATCGTCATCGTTGGTGTTCACGTCTTCGCCCTTATAATTTTTTGTGGCCGTTGCCGTATCAGCACGGTCGTTACCAACTTGATGATAGTTATCGTCACCGTAATCCTTGTCATTATTGTCGTGTTCGTTATCGTAAGCATCATATGCGTTATGATTAGCGTCATAGTGATTAGTTTTTTCTGCCATTGCCGTCGATGTGTCGTTATCGTCATTACGTCACCAAAAAATATACATCCGTATTTTAAAATTAATGTTTAGAAAAAAATTTACTATATCACACGATATCTCGGCTCACGAAGCCGTACCGAGACACTTTTACACAATGTACAGAGACGAAAAATATCACGGGATGAAAAGAAAATTTAAAACAACCTGGACTATTTCCATTATACCAGCCTATTGTCGGCCCACGTAATACGCTTAACTCATAGCAAGGGGTGGCTTTTATTGCCCTATACGGGCGTTTCCTGGAAACGCGAGGACATAAGAGGATTTTGTTACGAAGATGATCGAAAAATTTGTTCCGTGTATTTCAGGAACAAGTATCTCGCGTAAGCCGCTTGGCCTAGATTTTGAAGGCAGTTTTCTCGCAGAACGACGATTTAAAGGGCAGGACAGTGAAGTACAAGGCTATTTATATTTGGTATAGTTAAATGCAGCACAAGTATGTCCTTGCCTTGAAACCCGTCGCGGCTCGTACTATCAGTGTCTAACAAATCGTTAGTGATTCAAATGTATACACGCGTTTAAGCTTTGGAAAAGTTTGTACGTTGACTAGTTTTAGAAGTTTTTCAAATCGTATGATTTATTTGAGTTGAATTTGTCGAAAGGAAACGGTGTTTCCGCCGAGTCACATCTAGTCATTAACACATAAGGTTAGATAAGTAAATTATATTATAGTAATATTAATAACCGTAGTGTATAAATCAGTAATCAAATGATAATTTTGTAAACTTGTGCGACCAATTTAGGTGACCTATCAATTTCTCCCCGTGTTTCTTTTAGGTGTTCCCTGTTCAAACTCGCTTGGACGCTCATAAATATGTAACTGTCTATATACATATAGTATATCATTCCAAAAAAGTGATACTTAGCCTGTATTGAGATTAAGTTGTATTAATTAAATGAGAATTACTGCAGTTTTGTTTTAACTTCAATCCTAATACCGATCCCTGTTGAAGTTTCCATTAAAATTAAATAAGTTTTTCAATAACAATTATATACATATTAATTTCCATTCTTGATAATATACACTTCGCAGTAGCTCATAATTGACATTTTTAAGAGTAACTAAAAATAAGGTTAGTAACGATAAGTCAAATAATGATATATGCGTATCACATTACAGAGTGTATGACGGTTGGTGGAACATTAGACTTTCTGGTAATTTGATCCTATAGCTTTTTGACTCTTCTGCATCGATCTAAAATAGTCTCAGTGTCGAGTTTCTGAATATATTTCTAAAATATTTCCAAAAAAAAATGCTTTATTTGTTTTTCCACACTACATAATGTACAGCGTCGTCCCACACTAAAAAACTACTACTACAAACTACTAACTAACCCAATAGATAAGGTTTACATTTAAAATTTGTGACAAACACAGGCATAATTATTAAAATTTGTAAACGATTTTTGCCAATCCAGCAACAAACTTGTCCAATAATCTCTTTACTTCTGCCTAAAATCTTTTAATTGGGGGCGGAGGTAAATTAAACAATTTTATAGCTAAAAACATGTTGCTTTTTTGGGTAAGAGGTAACCGAGGTTGAGGCAACAGTAAATCTCCGCCGTGCCGTGTATCACAGATAGGTTGTCCAACCTTCTCGACCTAATAAAAATTAGGCACTGTTGGACAAACAGACCCCGCAAGGTCAGAATCCAATTTCCTGAATAGATCCCTACAGCTATCAGAGGGTTTGCGTTATCGATAATCATTTCTCTGGTCTTTTGCATTTTAAATATCCGCTCCGAATCAGCAGAGCTCCCGCAGAATAGAAGTCCATATGATATTCGTGCCTGAAAGAGACCAATGTAGGCAGTTCGAGATACATTGAGGGTTCACTCTGCGAAGGAGATATAATATTGAGGCTAACTTGTTTGTAAGCTCATTTATGTGATTCTTCCAGGACAACCGGTTTTCTAGATATACACCCAGAAATTTCACGGCCGTACTCTGTTCACGTTCCTTAAGAGAATAGGTACATATCTCGGTTTCATTGAGATTTAGGCTTAGAGTGTTATCTGCGAACCACTCACAAAGTTTTTGTAGTGTTATGTCTAAATTTTGTTTAACTATCGAGCAACGTTTTGGGGTTATTAATTATTTCCCATAATCAGGCTGAAACTTTTAATTATCTATGGAGTGTGGACAAATACATTGAAAGTTTAACCCGACGTATCCTCACTTACCAAGCACAATCTCCATAGATAATAAAGTTTCTTGCTTGAATAATCTTCATAGATTTAATTATTTTTCATTCATTTTATATGCTTATATGTTAAACATGTCAAATTAATTAGATTTTTTTTAAGAAACTGCTTTTATTTCAACAACTAAACATGACTTTTTGCCTACTCTATAAGGAGTTACTTAGGTATTAATCATAAATATCCAGGATACTAAAAATTGAAGCAAAAATGTCTAAATATTCAACTAACCCAATAACAGGAATTTAAATTAGGGTCTGTTTCAGCCGAAGCCAATGGACAATATTGTTGTCCCATTAAAGAAGTCAAAGTTTTCGCTACATTTCGACACAAACAGCAACACTGCTACACTCAAATATTTTAGATTGATAGAGGAGAATTAAAAATATATGTGTGTTTCATCAACTGTACACATTCTTCGGCCATGCAGTATAACGCTTTAAAGACTGAGTAAAAACGTTACCGTTTCCGGGGAGAGTGTCCTGTTTATAAAATTGGAAATACGATATATAAGCTTAACTATAAATGAATCCAATTTTCTCCTAATTTAATGGGGCATATAAACACAAATAGTATAACGATTGAAAACTAATAGACAATTGGAATTGTTTTTTCGCTACGATTCGATATCGATAGATTAATATAAATAATCAAATAACAACAATTATTTCAAGAAATCTCCGTTCAAGGGCGCCGATAAGTCACGCGTCACAGAATCATCCATACTATACTACTAGCGTCCTGATGCGACGATAAAGGAATGGCAAGCAACGGAACTTCAATTACATGATGCTATGGACAACGAAATATAATTTTATTTTCTCCTGTGGCCGTCAAGTGTACAGGGTGTTCGACTAGGAAAAGCCACTGACCATCGCATTTGCATCTTAACGCCGATTTCTGAAAATAACTCTGACTTTTTTATGTGTTTTTGCATCACTGTAAGGAAATTACCGTTTTCAGTTAACCACCCGGTATACAATACAAACCGGCATCAATTCAACACTACATAAAAGCGCTGATAAATGGCAGGGTCGTCGCTTCCGTGCTTATCGCCGAGTTTCACGCATTTCTAAGCGAATTGTCGGCCGGGCACTTTCCAAAGACAGGATGTTTTATGGCCCCCGATACCTGGACAAATATCAAGGCCGGACGATCCGTCCCTTAAAGCGGGGAAACGCCACTTGTTATTTGAGGTCTGACTTTGATGACTACCGTTAAGCTCTATAGCATTGCCCTAATTGCTATGTGCGCTTTTCACTTAAAAAGATTTATAACTCAGAGAGTGTTGTAGTCTTTCCGCGTACCTTATTAAGCCGGGTAATGGGATAGCAAGAGTGCTTACAGATCACCCTCAATGAACAGGCACGTATTGTACATGCAAAGCAGGCCGTCGCGTCGAATATCAAGCATTTACCTGGTCTGTTCGAAAGTTTTACCAACTCAAAACATTCCGAATCTATCATTGAAAAAATATGTTTGATAACGAAGTACATGCCCGAAACTTAATCAATATCAAGAAAATGTTCTACTGCAACGATATTTTTGTTGACAATTAAAGTAAGATTATTGCGGTATAGTTCTTAATAATATACTTTGGTAAATTTTTATGAAGGTCTAACCGCTCTTCCTGGTGTTACCATCAGTCCATTCTTTCTTCACGGAATAGTGGCTATCAAACCAGATCTCGTCTAAATATATGACGGAGACGTTTTTAGCATTAATTTCTTGGGTTTCTCTCAAATATCTTGCTTTCAACTCCGAAATTCTTCTTGATTCCATCAAAACTTGTATCTTATTGATGGTTTTGTGATAAAAACCAATTTTTCGTACGAACACACGCAACAGTCAATGTTCAAAACACTACGCAACTCTATATGTAAAGTTTTAATTGTTAAAACAATATTCTTCTGATCGGCATCATATATCAACCGTCTTAGTAGACTTTTTGGGAGCACACAATCTTTCCGCGTTTTTCTTTTTTGGACACCATTCACAACTATATCACCGCATACAGAGTTTTAGTCATTTCGGAAGTTAATTTTATGGCACCACTTTCCCCAGATGTCGATTGAGAAATAATTTTGGCAGGACCGATGTTCATCATCAACGATTATTATGCCATCGACAACAATTTCAACTTCTTCGTCGCTGGACATCGCAAGTGATTAATAAAATTCAATAATGTTAGTATCTGATAAGAAATAAATTGTAATAAAATGTATATGGTACCTCAATAAAAATGACACACTGAGTCCTGAAAAACAATTGAATAACAGTAAGTGGGTAATTACTAATTATATACACAAGACGGAATAGAAATAACTTTAAGGCTTCGACCCCCACAAATCAAACAATAGCAAACATAAGATTCTATATTGCTTTCCTAGATAAATATTTTAGAGTCGTTCTCGTGCTGAAAAGAATGGTCCCTTCCGCTTCACAACAGGCAGGTCTTAAACTTATTCCGAAGTGAAAACCATAACAATTGTTTACATCTAGTAGGCTAAACGGTAATCTGACGCAAGTCTCAGTAGTGTTGTGTCAAACGTTCATTTTACCAGGACCGAATCAATCAGTGACCGTTTTCGAAAAGGACCGAATCATTTCAATCAAATCGTTCATTTCAATACTCGACCGATTCAGATTCATTTGAATTATTGTTCTAGTTAGTATAATATTTAGCTGAGTTGTGCTTTTTATTGAATCATGATTTTATCAAAATAGGTGCTACGTATTGGGTTGTACCAGGAATACATTAATTTGTTTAAATGAAATACCTGTGTGGAAATAGGTATTTCATTCAATATTCAATTCAACATATAAGTAAATCTACAGATCGATGTCGCAACTCAATACTATAGAATAATTATAACAATACTCCCATTCCTTTTCCGTGGCCTGTCTCAGTCATGCATTTAAATCTTAAACCATTCAAATGAATCGTATTCCGGCGAATTCGGTCGGTCGATCGGTCGTCCTGTATTCTTTCACTTCAGACCGGTCAGGGCGGCAGCGAGAGCGAACAAGGTGATCGAATCGTTACGAACAAGCGGGATTCGGTAGTAAGTGACCCAATCAATGGCGATTGACACAACTCTAAGTCTCAGTTCTTCGGTGACGATTGTGTGACTAGGACAAGTTATATACCGATAAATGTTCACAGACTTGAATTTAAAAACGTTTAATTTTTTTGGTTAAAAACCAAAAACTGTGCGATCGTGAAACTAACGAACGGGTACAAAAAATGAATAAAACCCTTTTGACGACCCTCGATACAAAACAAAATGGGTTTATTTTTTCCCTGTTTCAAACCACGGGCCGATATTTGCCGGCACGGTCGGACGCCGCGTGGAATTTAAATGAAAACACTCGCATTTAAGCCAATCGAACTATTGACGCGATAATGAAACAAAGCGGCAGTAACTGGACGCGGATTCGGGACCACGCTTCACGTATGTTTATGGTATAAATGCGAAATGAATCGCTTAGTGTCAGTTTAGTGAAAGAATGAGCATCGAAACATTAGTTGTGTAAAAAATTGTATACTAAACAACTACCCAGTGTGGAAAAATCGGTAACACCCTTGCGACAGGTGAAAGTTAAGCTAGAATAGTATATTATGCAATAAGCGAGGTAAACGGCATTTGACTCACGAGTGTTTAATAAACGAGTGACTTAAAAAGTTTACCGAACGTGTTGCA